GCAGCTTTCCTGGAATCATGATAGCACAAAACCAGGATGCAAATAACGATCAAAATCACAATCATGATCTCGATAACAATAACACTGCCGTCATGACAACTCTATTCTATTGGTGGTGTGATAAAAAGGATTGGTCACTGCCACTTGAGATATATTGTAGAACCGTATGGCGCTGCTTTTCTTATCTTTGGCTATTTCCTTTCCCTGCCTAGTGTAAGGGATGCTTCTTTGATAAGAAAAACATAAAATTTTTTCAAAAGATTTCCACCATTTTTAAAGCAGTGGCCATCTTGAAAAAATTTTTTTTGCGTAAAACTATTCACCAATATATATCTTTCAACCAAATATGGAGAAAATCTGTCGGCTAGAATTCGAGTTATCTTCTGAACAGACTGACAGAGTGACGGACGGATGGGGGGCTTCGCTATATCCCTACCGAACTTCCTTCGTTGGGATAATAAATGAACAGCATATTCCAGAAAATATTATAAGACAAAGTGAAATTGAGATTGTCATTTCTTGAAATTACTGCTAGTCAGATCATAAAATGATTTCCTCCTATTTACATGTATTACTCATTCAACAAGGAGTTTCATAACGAATCTTCCCATCTCCAAACCCACGTTCTCTCATAATCCACGTGTCATTACAGAGCTTATTCAATTAATTAGGTTCCGCCACCAGGCAGCTACCTTGGGTCAAGTAGCACACAAAAAGTTTGCTTGAAATAAAACAGATATGGTGGATCAGTTTTCTACTAGCACTTTAAGGATGATAATAAATATCCTTTAAAATGTATTCAGTAAATACCATTTGTCTCAACATCTAACTGTCTTATTAAAGAGGCCTACCATTTGTCTCATTCAACTGTATTATTAAAGGGGCTTACCATTTATCTCAACATCTAACTGTATTATTAGAGGGGCCACCATTCAATATGGCCGCTCAATTCAAAATGGACGCCATTCGTCATAAGAAATGTAATCATTGATAACATTTCAAATTTTATATACTGATACGTAGGGACAAAAGAGCTTTGCGCAAGAAGAGACTTTCAAGATGGCCACTGCATTTCTAATTGGCCACCAATTTTATCTTTGACAACTCAAATATCAGTGGATGGATTTCATTAAAATTTTATAAGCTTAATGGCCTAGTCACATAGCCCGGCCGATGTCCGGCATCGGTAGAGCTCGGTGGATTTTTTTGGTGCCACCGAGCTCTCCTCATGGGAAGCAGAGCTCGGTGACGTGAACGGACTCCGTCCGGACATCTTCAAGCGACCGACCGAACACCGGCCGGTGACTGTACGGAGTCTGTCTCAAAATGGTAGTTTTTTTCTGCCGATGTGGCAGCAACTACCGGCCGGAGGTCGGCCGGACATCGGAAAGAATACGGCCGGTACCCGAGCAGGTAACAGGACACCGTGCGATCGCCGGCCGGGTTGTTAACGGGCTTTGAACAGTGACCGGCCGATGCTCTGTCCCACATCGGCCGGAGCTCGGTCGGAGCTCGGCCGCTGTCCGTTAGAAAACCTCGTCCTCTGGTTGTCTCAGATGCACGGGACACCGGCCGATACTCGGCCGTGCACCGGCCGACGTGTTTTCCGATGTGGTTACGATGGGGCTGTGATGACATGATGAGGGAGCTCGGTGAGAGCCCGGTGAAATTTAACTCCGAAGTTAAAATTTCACCGAGCTACCACCGATGCGGTTTTAAGCAACAAACGCCACGGATGTCCGGCCGGTGTCCGGCCGGTGTTCGGCCGAGTTCGGTGAAAATTGCATCGCTGGCTCATCGTAACCTCATCGGCCGGGCTATGTGACTAGGCCATTAGCCAAGGGACAAAAGAGCTTTGATGAACAAAAAATTCTCCGCTTGAGAAATAATGGCAGCTGAATTTCAAAATGGCTGCCATTTTCCATAAAAGATATGATATTTGATAATTGCTCATATACCATGGACTTGGTTCAAATTTTATTTGATGGCGCCTTAAAGACAAAGGAGCTCTGCTTGAGAAGAAATTTTCGAGATGACAGCTGAATTTTAAAATGATGCCATTTTTCATATTTGACAATTTTCAAATTTTACATGGTGATACGTAGGGAAAAATAAGCTATGCTCAATTTTCAAGATAGTCGCTATTTATCAAGTCATATTTTGTTCTTTGGGGTTTCCTACTCTTTGGAGTTGCTGTTTTCTAGTCATTCAACTGTATTATTAAAGAGGCCTACCATTTCATCCAACTGTATTGTCTCAATATTCAAATGTATTATTGGGGGGGGGGGGGGGGGCTACCATTTGTCTCAACATCAAAATGTATTATTAAAGGGGCCTAAAATTTGTCTCAACATCCAACTGCATTATTAAAGGGGCCTACCATTTGTCCCAACACCCAACTGTATTATTAGAGGCCTACCATTTATCTCAACATCCAACTGTATTAGTAAAGGGAGCCCCCATTTGTCTCATTATTCAACTATATTAACAAAGAGGTCCTACCATTTGTTTCAACATTCAAATGTATTATCAAAGGGACCTACCATTTGTCTCAACATCCAAATGTATTATCAAAGAGGCTTACCATTTATTTCAACATGCAGATGTATTATCAAAGGGGCCTACCATTTGTCTCAACATACAAATGTATTATTAAAGGGGCTTACCATTCATTTCAACATCCAAATGGATTTTCAAAGGGGCTTACCCGTTATCTCAACATCCAAATGTATTATCAAAGGGGCTTACCAGTTATCTCAACATCCAAATGTATTATCAAAGGGGCCTACCATATAAAAGGGGCTTACCATTTATTTCAACATCCAGATGTATTATCAAAGGGGCCTAGAATTTGTCACAACATCCAAATGTATTATCAAAGGGGCCTACCATTTGTCTCAACATCCAAATGTATTATCAAAGGGGCCTACCATTTATTTCAACATCCAAATATATTATCAAAGGGGCCTACCATTTGTTTCAACATCCAAATGTATTATAAAAGGGGCTTACCATTTATTTCAACTTCCAAATGTATTATCAAAGGGGCCTACCATTTGTTTCAACTTCCAAATGTATTATCAAAGGGGCCTACCATTTGTTTCAACATCCAAATATATTATGAAAGGGGCTTACCATTTATTTCAACATCCGAATGTATTATCAAAGGGGCCTACCATTTATTTCAACATCCAAATGTATTATCAAAGGGGCCTACCATTTGTCTCAACATCCAAATATATTATCAAAGGGGCTTACCATTTATTTCAACATTCAAATCAAATGTATTAAAAAGGGGCCTACCATTTAAAAAGGGCCCTATCATTTGTTGCAACATCCAACTGTTTTGTTAGAGTCCTATTATTCATCATACTGTTGTATTATTAAAGGGGGCTGCCATTTTGACGGTATCATATATGAAAGTATAACTTTAAGTTTGATCTGTATCAATCATTTTGAAGAAAGATCTTGTTATAGGATTAAATTTGTTCTCTTGCAGCATAGAACACATTTGATTTCATGAATTTAATTCAATTTTAGACATGACCTTTGCAAAGTTGTGACTTTGAATCCTAAAAAGAGAGCTTTCTCATATGCTCCACACACAACATCTGAGATTCAAGTTGTATATTTACTTCACATAAATACAGGCATCCAATATATTCCATCCTCCTAAGCAGGTGTCCAGAATCCGTACCTCCTTCTTCCCCCCTGCTATAAGCAGTTAGCATTTCACTGATTAAGAACCCGCAATTTGATTGGCTGTCGCAAAATCATGTATACGTCATCGGCGCATAATTAGATCACGTGAATCAGTTTAATCGATCGCTTCCAACTTGGTTATAGCAGGGGGTAAAAAGAAAGAAGATATTCTGGATTTTGAAGCGGAGGATGATATATTCAAGAACTGAAAAACAGTTTTTAGATAAGATAGATGTCACCATAGATTAATATCTTCTAATTTGAACATTTCAGGTTATAATCCTGGTGCTAATGATGTACAACTTCCACAGGCACAAATCATACTGTTCACATATTGGAAACATATTCTGGTTAAAGTGGTTCAGGGTTAAATTAACTGTAAAGTTCACTGTCTGGGATATTGTTATTGAATCGGAAAAGTAGCTTTCAAATCTAAAATTTTTAAGATGCATAGTATCCATTACTGTAAGTTTTGTTAATTTGACACCCATTTTATTTGGTGAATTTGACCATTTGAAGATTTTATCAATTTACTTCTCCCAAAAAATTAAAATAAATCCCGTTGCCTTGTACACATACTGGAGTAAACAATTTTCTGAAATCATTGCTATTGTAAGTTTGCTGAAATATCCATGGAGCTAGTTGCATTACTATGAGACAATTAACAACCACATTGGACTCATGTAAAAAAGTTATTTACAGTACTAAGTGACTGAAGTCACATGGTAGGGTACTGTGGATAAACAACTGTCCCGTTGAAAAGTGATCATAAAAAACTATTGCTATGAAAAAAGAATGGTTATTTGACCTCAATGCTCACCGGGGATGCAGTTGACTGGGCTTCAAAAGTAAAACAAAAATCTACCACTTGGTATTTCACTATTACTGGTGTACATTTGCTGGATGTTGATTTGGAAAGGAATCTATATTCAGTAGGTTGTTTGATATATAATAGCGTTTTACACCTTCACAAGATCTGTACACTGCTATCAGGCTGTACTTGGGGCTTATGTGGTAACTTGGATAGATTCATAGCTGGAATTAATATAAGACCAGAAACCAGAATATTGAGAATGGAATAATTCAATCAGGTTTGTAAAATGAATTATGGTATCTTCATAGCTATCATTTTGGTTTATTACATGTTGCATATGCTCATCAAATATGTCAGAAAAGATGGGGGGGGGGCAGACTTGCAGTTAATACTTTGAAAGTGTTTTTTGTTTCATGTTACATATAATTACCAGAGGGTTTACTGAGTACATATTTTTTAACCACTAGTAAGTGGAAATGTTAATACAAAGTTCAGTGCTACATAGGCATTAGCTTCAATTAAATTCTGATTGCAATCAAGAACCAAAGCTTGCTTGACTTTTTAGGTTGTGTTAAGTGCTTTTGTAAATATTGAAAAACTGGAGTACATTGTAATTATATTATTGAAACAATTTTGGATAACACTGGATGAAAGAGTGATGGAGATAACAACTACAAGTAAGTTATGTTGGAATTGTTTAACAGACGTCACTCAGCAGAGGAAGAAACAGTGGAATACTCAGTGCTTTTGAATTAAATGATAGTATGAGATGCTTGCCCGTAGCCAGCTTTTACCAGGAGGGGGAGCTCTTTTCCAGGGGGGGGGAGCTTTTTCACAATTTTGGCTAAAAATCATGCGAAAAATTCTCGGAATGGTGAAAAACTGCATGATTTTGAAAGAATCTCTGGCCAGGGGGGGCGCTTCAGCTCCCCCAGCTCCCCCTCTGGCTACGGGGCTGAGATGGTACATTGTTGTCTTGCTCAAATTATAAAATTGACATTTCCCTGATTCAGAAGGTACCTAAAGGTACCTCAAGTGGCAGTGGTTATAAAATGGAGGATCTGAAAAGGGACCAGAATTGTTTTTCATTTTGGGCTTGAAAATAGGCCTTCATTTTCTAATTTCCCACATAAAAGTGGGGGGGGGGGGGTCAAAAATATTTTTCTGTGCCCCATCGTTACCCATGTGGTGAACCTGGACAAAGGGCACATTTTCAATGGAGATCCACATGTGAATCTTTTGGTAAAAATAAGGTCATTTTCATGTTAAATCAAAACTAAAATGGAGAAAGGGTAGTAAATGATAAATGAATATTTTGGATTTAATAGAAAAAATTAGTCCATGTCTTTTTCAAACAAAATATTCTTGAAAGGGCATAAACTAAAAGAAAGAATTTCATGATTACAATAGTGATTTACAGGAAAAGATAATATCTTTCACATTTTATTTACATTATGGAGAATGCTATGTGTCCGAACCTAAATATTTTTATAGTTAAAATATTAAAAAGATATTTCTCCAAAAGAAATTTGGTAAAAGCGTTGAACAACCTCAATAGTAATCTACTTGTTGCGCTTTCTTACAAAATATGAAACATGTGAATTTTTCACTCAAATTGGATAATTGTCAATATCAATGAATATATCATGGTGAGAGTACACAGCAAGAAAATGACATGTATTTGCAGGTCTAGTATAATTTGCCAAGATGCGACTGAAATACTGTGACATAGATGTAATTACTGCACTACTGGGCATCATTTTGATACAAGGTAAGCCACGTTGAACATGTTAAAGGCATTTGTAGTGTGAATATTGATTTAAAAAAAACTTAAGCTCTTTTCATTGAGATATTGCATGCTTTTTGTGGTGTCATTTTAGCTGAAGTGTGTATGGTTTGTTTGAACAGAAAACCTTATTGTATTTTTATGTTTCATAAAAAGTAACAATTAAAGAGTTGGTTTTTATAGGCAGCATGTGTATTGAATATACAGAAGGTTCTAGGCAGGTATATATTTGTACCACATAGAACTAATCAACATACTGTACTTTTTAAATCCAAATATTATTCGTTTATTGGAACTTAAAGATGTGAATGTTTCAGGACTGCAGACTATTAGTGCAGCTACAACTCAGGATATTGGTAACACTTCAACCAAAGCAGCTACAACGACAACAAATGCAACTGAAGCCACAACTGCTTTTAGTATAGATAATAAAACAACAACAGTATCCAATGTAGAAGTAGATACTACAAAAGCTACAATAACCAATACGACAACAGTTAAGAGTGAAGCTGCTACTACTAAAGCTTCAACAAGCACTACAAAAGCTCAGGAGCTAAGCACAACAAAATCTACAACAACTACCACTAAGGTTATACCAGTTGAGGAGATAGATACAACTAAAGCTACAACAACTGAGGAAATAAATCCAACGGAAGAGATGACTACGGTTAATACAGAAGAAATAACTACAATGGCTAGTATGAATAATACTTGCTCTTGTAAAGTAATTCTTGGTGAGTTTTTTTTATTATGATTTGAAGTAAGATGTTTTAGTGCACATATATTTGCATTCTGAGAGCTCTTTCTGGTATAGGCTTTGAAGAGCTGTACAGAGAATAGAGAAATTGAATAAAAAACGGTATGCTAAGTTAACTATTGGCACAAACTTATTTATATAAAGTTTGCCCTAAATACAACCCCATTGAGCTTGATTGAGTTTGAACTGGTAGCATTTTTGAATCTTTTGGCAGTGAAGGTCTCAAAAAAATTTGAACTATTCAATTTCCAGTGCATGTGATACCGTAATCTTGCTTCTCTTCTATATCACTTTTCTTCTAACTTTCTATCTTAAAAAACAGTTTTATATCTTGTCATCTTGATTAATACAATTATGTAATATAACCCACATGGGTGTCAGTTGCCTGTACATTGAAAATCGATATAATTGACAAATAAACAACTATGCAAACTGTAAAATACAAGTCAATAAATAAATTATCCCTGTTTTGTAGCTTTAAAATAACGAAAACTGATTTATATTTGTTAATTTATTTGGCCTAAATAAAGAAAATGCTATAACACTGTATAATATATGAGAATAGATCTGTATTTTGACATCACACATATGAAAATATATACAGGCCCGTAGCCAGGGGGGGGGGGGGTTCGATCATTTCCCCCCCTGGCCAAAAATTCTTTCAAAATCACAGTTTTTCACCATTCTGATCACTTTTTAAGTGATTTTGGCCATTTTTGGACCATAATTGTCAAAAGTGAACTCATCCTGGAATTTTTCAAAAAGTGAACCCCGCTTGGCAAATCCTGGCTATGGGCCTGATACACTACTAAATGAAAGCTTTTTCAATAAGTATCATGCATCAAATCAAAAGAGCACCAAAAACCAAATTGTGTCTATTCTCTAATCTTGAAATTCTGAACTGAAGTCTGGAAAAGGAATTTGTTAACTTTAATTTGAGCAGGTTTTATTCATTTAGTAAAAACAAGCAATGCCTTTCCCAAGCTTTTAGATCAAAATTAGTTTTTATAAAGGCAAGTTTTTGGCAACCGACTAATATGGATTAATACATATAAATGTAAAAATCTCAAATTAAAGTTACACTATACCAGCCATGTTAAATGTAGTCCAGTGTAATATTTTGTCTCACTTATAAGCACAATGGCGAATCTGAATAAAAATTGAAGTGCAATGAACATCACCATTGTAGATTTTTAACTTTGCGGTGTATATGTAAAAACTGCATTAATGAAAATATTTCCTTTTGCTTCCAGGGTCAGTTCAGCTTACTAAATACGAAGCAGAGTTGACGATTGGATGTTTGGCATGTCTGTCTCTGTTGCTTCTATTGCTGCTTCTCATGATTCCACTGTGGATGGCTAGTATGAGACTCAAGAAGTAGGCCATGGCTTGTCAGCCCAAATATGCTCATTTTTTACAATGTATGGTGTTACACAGGTCCATTGACTGTAGATCTGCGGAGTTGCGAGACAACAGGGTTTTTTGAAATTGGACAATATATTTGCAATGTTCAGAAAGAGAAAGTATTTGGTAGAATCTGTTGAAATGAGTGATGGACTTGGGACTGGCTAAAAGTGTTCATATTAAATTCTTGAGTATTCACATGAGAGAGATGTTTATTTTACATTTAGAAAAGTGGTCCATTCATATACTGTATTACACCAAATAATCAAAAAATAAGAAAAGCCTACTAATATCAAGAAGAAAAATGTTTTATGGATTACAGCTCTTCAAAATGTTATCCAAGCTTTAGAAAGAAAGATCTTATTTATGGTTACGTGAGAAGTTCTATTTATGCAACCTGGGCTGTGAGTAGTTCACTGATGATACCCAGGGTCTGTTTTTATCACAACACTGATAATCACACACCACAGATCTGATAATATCTTCATATATTGTACATAATAGTTTTAGTTTGTAAATAATTTCATAATTTTGAGGAAAACTGAGCCTAACTGAAAATATGGCCAATTTTTTGGGCATATTAGAGGACTAAATCCATAAATCTGTACCAACAGATTATCCTGGTAGTTTTGGAAATCATTTATCATCTTGAGGATATGACTCAGATTGGGCTCTTATCCTGATACAACTTAACCTCACATAGACAACAAATGTCATGATGACTTGTAGGATATAATACAGTAAAACGTGTCTGATGTGAACACCACAGAAATTCAGAATTTTCCTGTTTCCACCTTGCTTCAAGCTTCAACCAATTTTGGTACGGAAAATTTCTGGGGGTCATGTGATATAGAATAGGCAAAAAATGCCAGAAAATCACATTTTTTTGGTATAACAGTGGATTCAACATAACTTTGAAAGGATATGTTGGTATTGATCCGTTACTATGGAGACAACGGGAAGAAATAGGTCATGTATATTCATGTAAAAGAAGTGATCACATACAGGATTTGCTGTACACGTTGTGTTTCTAGATGTAGTTGCATCATGTAGCATGCAAGAAAATAATAAGATGATCCAATTAAGGTGGTCCTTGTGGGAGAATTTCTGGATTGCACAGGATATCAGTGTAAAAAACATTAGTATTAACTCTTCTCAGCCTACCATACAATTATAAGGTCACTGAAAACTCATTGTTTTCTGGGTATTGTTTTGGTTTGAGATGACCCCTTGAAGGTGAAGTAAAATAAATTATGAGCTTAATTGTACATAAAAGTATATATTTGTAATTATATATTTGTTTTTAGTTCTTAGTAAACTGTAAATAAAGTATGACATAAATCTACACAAAGCAAACTCTTATTTTGTTAAACTGCTGAAATGTATATCACATAAGTGCAACCTGTGTGAGGCAATGGGGGGGGGATTGAGGTCTAGAACCCCAAATAATATCTCCTGAAAATTCTACATTTTCTTCAATGGAAAATAGTTTTTAATGGATCTCTCTTATCCAATTGGTAATTAATTGAAAATTTGTAATATGACCCCTTCACTGAAAAATTAGGAACCACTCATGACATGGCATACATAGATATTTTGAGTTATGAGTCGGAAAGATCTTTATATAGGAGAAGTTACAGTACTCCAAAGCCTTGATGCAACTCCTCCCTCCATTTGATGCTTACAAAGTAAAAGATGCTCTATATTTACACAAAATTATTTGATTACACTACAGAGCATGTTAAATAGATAAAGTATCTTCCCTCAAGGCCAAGAGCTACTTATAGCAAGAGTATATTACCTGACAATTACATACTGGCTGATAACTTCAAGGATTGATTTAGATTCAATGAAGTTGAGAAAAGTGACCTCTATTAACCCAGGTAGATAATATTCTCGTCTTGATTGGTTTGGTCACCATGGTTTCAAAGTCTAGAGCCGCATATACAGCTTCAACATATCGAAATCTCCATATTATGGAATATTGTTTTTATATCGATAGTTTTAATTGAATATCTGACACTTATGAATTGATCGCTATAACAGAGATGGAAATGGCATGTTATGTTGTTTTTAATTGCATTTTAGGAACATTTAATCAATTTAGCCAGAACATACCTCTTTTCTTGGGAATTTTTGTCATCTATTCAGTGACCAGAATTGAAATATAAACTATTTTCCCAGGTCTTACAACTAAGTAAATGTACAGGGTTCTATCAAAGAATCATCCTGTAATGATCTCAAGAACAATTTGAGGAGCAGTTGGTATAATCTAGCTTCCAGTCAGCAGAATATAAAAATTCTGGAATTTCAAGGAAAATTTTGAACTTGAAACTATACTAGATCTTTTTTTTGTAAATCAAGAATAAATCAAATTCTTAGAAACCAAGAACGACATCATGACCAATAGGTGGCATGACATTTCAGAAACGCATACCTTTTTTCTTGGAAATTTTAGTCATCTAATCAGTGATCAGAATTGAAATATAAACTATTTTCCCAGGTTTTACAACTAAGTAAATGTTCAGATCAACCTATTTGATGAGCTCAGTTAGTATAAGCTAGCTTCCAGTCAGTAGAGTATAAAAATTCTATAATTATTTTAAGTTTTTTTGTAAATCAGCAATAAATTCTTATGAAGAATGACATCAATACCAATAGGGGTAATGATAAACCATATTCATCTCTTGTTTTCAGCATCGCATAAATGTTTGGAAATGTACTTCCGCTGGGAAAAAAACAACTAATTGCTTAGAAGAGCAATAAAGCCTTTTTATTTGAAGATTATGCAATATTAAGAAAATTAAGTATCACCAGCTGTGCTCCTTAAAGCTTTGTTGTATGGCAACAAAACACAAATCAAATATGAAACAAACTAAATACACAATTGATTTGAATACTGGTACATTTTATTAACACAGTTTTTTGAATCACTAAAAAAGCAAGGAACAGAGAAGCATTCAACCATTTTGTACATTGATGTATGTAATCATTAGTTCTTAACATTGATGTATCTTCATTTCTACGTTCTACTCCACATTCTTCCTGCTCTACGTTGAATGTAGCGTACCCGTGAGTGGGTGAAGATTAAATTGGTATTACACCTCTACAGGTCATCAGCCATTCTATCAAGGCATTAATGGACATCAAGCCCAATATGAATAGTGTAAAAATGTCAAGACTATATACAGTTCTATAGAATAATTTTCTTACAATTTCAGGAACAAAAGCTGTGTTACAAAGAAAATATGTGGACTACTGGCTCATGAGATGTAAATTATGGTTACATCTCGACAAATGTCATTTCTAAGGTTTAGTCCATGCTCTGAACAAAAAATGTAATTTGTCGGAAATGTTTGAAGGTAAACCCATTTTATGGTAACACTCTTCTTTACCGTCAAACACTTATCAACATATTTTCCTTGTTTTTTGTTTTTAGATTATTTTTGAGTATTGGCCCTGTTGGAAGAAAATTGTGGATTTCCATGACAAGACAGTTTAACACAAAATACCACCTACAGGTGGCATCATTTTCTGCTTGTAGTTCTTTACCTCCTTTTGGGAGAGCTCTATATGTACAATATGTTATTATTCTATCTAGCTACACCTATTAGAAATCATTGCAAAATCTGAAAGCATTTTTGAAAGTAGCACTCTTAAATCACATCATACCAAAGTTTATAAGGCCCAGAATGATACAGTATACTAAGACAATATAACTATATTTTGGCCTAAAATTCTGGCATACCAACAACCCTCCAAATGGAAGTAAAAAGTAAATCTTATACAATAGATCAATGTACAGATGAAACAAATGATTATATGTGCCATATATGGAAAATTCATCTACATTGAAATTTCTGTACAGCTGAAATTGCACTGTACACAGATCAGACCAAGATCCATGCATTGAAGGCAAATCATTATATTTTATTTCCCCTTAAGTTGTATTATACAACTAGGCCTATATGGAACACATTTCTCCTAGGCAGGCCATTTAATCCTGTAGGATTTCATTTAACAAGTTTCCAAAATTGTTTACCACACATGAAAATAACCATTGGATTGTATTAACAAAAATGTGTATAATCATTCCAATTTCTAACAGGCTTCATAAGAACTCAACTTTACAATGGAAATGTACATTACCGACGATCTGACATGAGAATATGCCTATTTTGATGGATATACCGTAAATCATTTTTTTAGTACAGAACACCATTGTAAAATTGACATCGAAATACAAGGAATCCTGGCATTAGCAATGGCTCGACTATACTATATTTCAGTATTCGTTTGACAAGCCACTATTATAACTCTCTATCACATACCAGTAAACTAGATTTGGAAACATGATAACTTGAAACATGATGCCTTTGATAATACTACATATGAATGAATATATGTTATTGTCAATAACCACAATAATTGTAGCTTATTGTACAATGTGCTTACCCCTCCCCCCACTAAAACGATGCACTCGCTTCATAAAAAAATTGAATTCATACATGATTGAAACCCAGCAAGGGACACTGAAAAAGTCCCATAGCTTCACAAATCACTTTTATATTATGGTATCATACAAAAGTCTATGATGTAATAAAAACTAAACTAATTTGTCTCAAACTTTAGCTGTTTACAAATAGAAAGTATACAGATTATGATTTTATATCTATATAAACACATTTCCAGTTTTATATACACAGATATGGCATGACGAACATTGACAAATACATATTCACATAAACAGAAGCATTCCTGCTTAATTTTAACACACAATTATTCTATCACCCCTAGTAAATAGTATATGTCCCTCCATCCCAATATATGGCCACCAGAATCACTTTTCAAAAGGGGTGATAGCTTCATAAAACCTACAACATATCTTGCACCACTATATGTTTTAAGTCTATTATAAAATCAAGACGACAGGTATATCAAAGATATTACTGTACAATATGATAAAATAAACTTGCATAAACAAAAAATACAGCTAATATGGCATTATCATTTGATACCTGGCAGTTTAGTAGCAGTCTATTCTACTGTCTTAGTTCAATAAAAATGTGACATTACACAAGCAAGAGATGCATGAGATTATCTATGTGGTAGTATAGACTAGTGAAACACATTCCATTTTGACCTATAAAATATCCCAACCATTCCATGCTAAAATACCTAAGGCTTTACATTAGTATATACATTACATATGCTTATATATGTCTCTTCATGGATGAAAAATACCACGTAGACTACATCAAATCATATGCCTTTTAATTAAGCTATATATATGACATAATGGAAAATGAGTAAGCAGACGTCATTCGGCTTGAACACATTCCAAATATTTCTTTCAGTCAATCCATCTTCTAATTGTGTTTCATTGAATTGTAAACTTTCTCAAATCTTTGATAAATTGTTGCAGTACATTGAAGCGAAAACAACGGGTGAATGTTAACTGTTCACACAATTGAACATCGAGGCTGATAAAAATGCCCCTGGCTTTATGCAGATTCCTTGAAGTATATCTTTCATATATATTTGTTAATGTACTAATAAATGTAGTCTATAGTCTATATTACACATTGGTTTCTTTCTTGTCTTTTTTCTTACTAAAGGATGGCATGCGGAACTTTTTCTTCTTTTTCTTCTCCTTTTGAGGAGAGCTCGTACTTGCTGGCAGCGTGGCGGCCTTGGATGGAGACGCCTGAAAAAATATAACAGAAAACTTATTAAAATATCATGCGACCAAGAACATCAATTACAGTTGGGATAAAGATGTGTTATATCATTTTAAACTAAAATGGATAAATTCAAATTCTGAACTTCATTGTTTTGAATCACGAATGATATATAGAATTTTTAACTTCATAATCATGCGGGGAAAATACACCATGCATGACAGGTTGTATACTATAGTATAGAGAATCACATCAAGGAAATGGGTTGAATCTGAATGGAAATATATTGATTTTCAACATTTGTGAAGGTTGTAGAAGCTATTTCACAAACAACATACAAGGCACCAAAAGAAGCAAGAATTTAATTCAAAAATTGGTAAAATTTGACATGGATTCAAAAGGCGAACTGGAGAACGAGTTTTTGTTAAAAAGCAAGGCATCATAAAGAAGTAAAGCAAGAATTGAATTTAAAAAACTGGTTCATTCCATCAAAAATGGAAAATATAAATTGAACTGAACAAGTTGTTGTTAAAATAAAAAAGCTTGCATGAATTGGGATTTAATAAAATGTTGAACGAAAGGGCAGAAAAATGACCAACATGTCACATGTGTGCCATTTACAACTGTAATCACAAAGCACACAAGTGTGAACCTGATTTAAAGATGTGTTGATTTGGTGTGTTTACTCTTGAACCAGCGCTTCATGCGACTCTTTTTTGTCTTAGTTGATGGGGTAGACGAGGCTGAACCCTAACAGATACATTCGTATGTTTGAGGTATGGTACATTTATATACATCCTCAAGAGATTATGCATTTCAATAAACTTTAAAATAATGTCTACATTATAGACTGGAACCAGAACAACGGCAACGCCAAAGCGTAGCGAATCCCATCGAACAGAAATGGCTGGCTGGCAAACGAAATATATAGCAAATATCATAAAATAACACACATAAGGCCACCATTTTCAAAATGGTTGCTCACTAGCCAAGTTGTCATCAGAAGTAACATGCTTTTTTTTCTAGCATTCACAACCAAATATGAACAAAATCGCTCAACTACTTTTCGAGTTATAGTAAAATACTTTAAAATGGTGGCCATTTTTCAAAATGGCAGCCTTCTACCAAAAGTGTCATTAGACAGTGTGCCATGCTTATAGTATTCACATACCAAATATGAACAAAATCGCTCCACTACTTTTCAAGTTACAGCAAAAATTGTAAAATAACAAGTAAAGGCCGAGTAGAATACGTTTAAATGGCGGCCATTTTTCAAAATGGTCACCTTCTACCAAAAGTGTCATTAGACAGTGTACCATGCTTATAATATTCACATACCAAATATGAACAAAATCGCTCCACCACTTTTCAAGTTATAGTAAAATACGTTAAAATGGCAGCCATTTTTCAAAATGGCCACCTTCTACCAAAAGTGTCATTAGACAGTGTGCCATGCTTATATTATTCACATACCAAATATGAACAAAATCGCTCCACTACTTTTTGAGTTAAAGTAAAATACGTTAAAATGGCGGCCATTTTTCAAAATGGCCGCCTTCTACCAAAAGTGTTATTAGACAGTGTGCCATGCTTATAGTATTCATAAACCAAATATGAACAAAATCGCTCCACTACTGTTTGAGTTATAGTAAAATATGTTAAAATGGCGGCCATTTTTCAAAATGGTGGCCATTTTTCAAAATGGCCGCCTCCTACCAAAAGTGTCATTAGACAGTGAGCCATGCTTATAGTATTCACATAGCAAATATGAACAAAATCGCTCCACTACTTCTTGAGTTACAGCAAAAATCGTAAAATAACAAGTAAAGGCCGCCATTTTTCAAGATGGCTGCCATGTGCTTCTTTAATATCTACATTTCTAGCTTTATCAATGTCCTATATAATTTTTTTACATTTAAAACATATTGCTATTACAGTTTTACATATTGCACCTAAATTACAGTAAAATCGGCACTAAAATGGCCGCCATTTTTGAATGAGCGGCCATTTTGAAAATCGGCTTTCGAGCAGAACTTCTACCCCCATAGGGTATATGTGTACAAAATATGAACAAAATCGGGCTAACGGTATTTGAGTTATTGCCCGGACGGACGGACGGACAGACAGACGGACGGACGGACGTACATACAGACGTACGTACGGACGGACGGACGGACGGACGGAGGCGTTCCCTATATCCCTCCGAACTTCGTTCGATGGGATAATAATACATTATCTGCATAGCCTATCATGAGCCATAATATAAGACATAACGATACAATACGTTACTACATGAAGCATGTTTCTGCATTTAGAAAATATATGTCTATGAAAATAAATATAATTTGATCGAAAAGCAAATTAAAATAGCAATTTTTGTTTAGACGATTAAAGCTGAGGTGATATTCTCAATTTTTAAAATCGACTACTTCGTTACGCATGCTGAAGAGAAAACTTGATCAAAAATAATTGAATACATATACATTTATATGGATGAGGGGAACAAGCTGTTGGACAGTCAAATTGAAAATTCTCAAACCTCAGAGTCAATTTCTTCATTATCATCTAAGAGCGACTGATTGTTAAATGTAGAAGATAAAAATTGTGGAATATTTATTATCACAAAGTTAAAGCATTTATGAAATACTGTAATAGTTATAACATTACCTAGTCCTATGTATAGTTGAAGATACAATAGTAAGATATAAAGTAATAGAATTGAAATAGAAGAAATAAAACATAACAGTAAAGTACATTTCTTATATTACAAGAGACAAAATGAATACGTCTGCTGGCTGGCATATAGAGTTGCATTATGGGAAATGAGCAGTGATTCTTGGGTAATATTGAAGTGCATTATGGGAACATACCTCTGTGCTACTCTTGCCTGGCATGGTATCAGACTTGTTCCCAGCATCATCTCCGTTTATAGCTTTGGCTGAAAAGAGAAATGGAATATTACAAAAGATGCAACTGACAATGGATTAATATAGCCTCGGGTTTCTAGTTTTCAAAAGTACTGCTTTAAATTCAATATTGTTATTGTTAAAATGTTTTATCTCTGCTAGACATTCATGTTAGATACATGTTATGATTAAAAACACATCATATTGCCATAACAGCTAAAACATAAACAACAAATTTGAACATGCACTTGTATCAAATTGGGTATACATGTATTATAAAGCCAGGCATGCACTGGGCATGCATATTTCATGTTGCTAAAGCCTGTCATGCTAGTAATATCAAAAGTACATGTAAAGTACTACAAATGGTAAGTAAAAATAATCACATACTTGTACTATATAAATGGAACTGATATTCCACAAAGTCCAAAGGGCTAGTACAATATCATCTTGTGAAAGTGCCACAAGTATTCAATAAAAATAGAATTGAATATTTGTTTTATTATTTCACTGTCAATCTCACAATCCTCAGTGTTATTGCTTCATCTGTTTAAAGGCAGAATCAGATCTATAGGGGGTGACAAAATTACAAGCAACTTGTATAATTGACCTACCAATCTATTCCTTACAATATCAAAAATGATATCTCCCAAAATATTCACAATATGTTATAAATTGGTGAAGTTATTAATGATTCAAGGTGCAAAAATGGGTGAAAAATGTTTAAATTCTCCCAAATAATAAGAATGGTAACCATTCTTATAGAAAAATAATACATTATTGTAAAAATCTTTCGTTTTCCTTGAATAAAGTATGCACTTTTGTGATTTTTAGAAAATAGACATGACAAGGAATGACATGAGCCAAAAATATTCTAAAATTGAAACAATTTTTTGTTTAGCCTGCTCGCTATATCTGATTCTCTCTTAAACATTGATTATAGGTTAAGACCTATGTTCATGTGCTACAGTAATGATCTTGGTAGACACTGAATGAAATAAATGCATTTCATGTGACCCACTTTTGACCAAACATCAATTGCAAGTTTGACAGTGATATAATAAATCTATATATTTTAAGAATCAAACTGAAAAATATTTGCATGCATATTTGCTTGTGTCATCAATTTGGAAAATGTCTAAAATTAATAAAATCATATATAAATCAATATTACATTTGAATACATTTAACAATAAGCAGGAATAAAAGTAAAGGACTTTGGTGCTACATAACAAAGTTTATTATGACATACAAGAATTAATTGATTTGCAACATATGAATCATTTCTGCAATCTATTATCAAAAATACATTTCAACTCTCAACGATTTGCACAATCTTTGAACATGTTCCAATTGACTGTTGACCAACTCACCCTATCTAGTCTTACGCTATCTAGAGATAATGCAATTTTTCATCTCTTAAAAAGTGCTATTTCTAATTGATTTCAAATATTATGTAGCACCAATTACATACAGTGTCAAGCAAGGAAGGTTCAGAGGGGAGGAAATAAGCAAATATTAAGATACATGGGGGTATAACTTTACAACATCTAATGTATAATGTATATTATATAAGCATAACAACATTTATACTATCTAGTATAGGATGTACAATCTTAAAGTTTGTATTGTTATCAAAGATTTGATTACTCTATAAGTTACATCACAAAACCATGCATCCATATTTCAAAAATGTGTCCTGTAGATTTGTCCATGAATAATTCCTTCCATTTAACCACCTTCCATATAAAGTAATAACCACTTTCCCTATATGGTATGAAGCTCCTTATAAGGATTGGAGAGTACTTACACTTGTTTTTAGGCTTTCTTTCTGACTTGGAACGTTGGAAATTGTCGTTCAACTCTTTAACCACTACATGCAATGAAACATGCAAAAACAAATCAAAAACAAAGCACAAACATGAACGATTCTAAACTAGAAAGATTCTAATACAGACAAGAAAGATCTTTCTTTTAAAGAATTACTATCTATTAATAACAATTCCTCTATTCTACATGACAACAAAATGATTTCTTTCTAAACTTAAATAAATCTTCTATATGTACAGTAAAACCTGTCAATATGAACACTTCTGAAGTAAACATCAATCATGTGAACACATTTATACAAAATATCATCGAAATTATGAACATCTTGAAATGTGAACACTAAAAACGTCAGAAACATGTTCAAAATTGACAGATTTTATTGCAGAAGCAAACTAAATATTTGACACAACTAAATAATACATTTACAGTTGTAAGACAGCATCCCCATCCCACTTCCCTCCTTAAAAAATCTAAAGAGCTGCAATACACTTACTTACATATACCATGCACACACATACAAATGTTAGATGTTAGAATGTCTAGGTGAAACAATGGTAGCTATATTTATGTTTGTTAATAGAACAGATCATTCCAATGTGATCTTACACCTCTACAAGACCAAAAGCTCAAAGGAGGATATCTCCCAGATTCCTCAGTAATGACAAGTTCTACAGACTCATATTGTAATCAGGACATTTGAACACCACTCATTCAGCTGTGCCATATTAATGATGTTCCTCCTTTGCTAAAAGCCTCTACATTGCTTATACCGACAAGCTCTAAAATGAAGAAGGATGTAACTTATACCAAGGGACGAAATTCCCTCCCATGAAACCTCAAATCTAAAAACTAAAACTATAAGATGACCTGGACCTTGAGTTGATGAAGTTTGTGGTGCCGACAAAAACTTCTCTGACAGAGTACGTCGCAACTTTGATCCGAATGACTTAGATGAGGAAGCACTTGTTGAGGGATCTAAAGGGTCTTGAGAAGCCGCACGGGAAAACTTTGATTTCTTGGATTTCTTTGGTGGTGTATCAATGGTTGGAGTGGGGCTTGCAATTGGTGTAACTGTGGTGCTAGAGTCTAGAATGTCATAACCTGTGGAGGACATGTATGGGGTAGAAGGGAGGGTAGAGCTAGATTCATATTCATGGTCTTCAACTTTAGATAGAGGTCTACGGGGCCTAGGAACCCTAGTGCGTGTTGGGGAGGGGGTGGACTGCGTACTGGAAGACAGGTGGCGATCAGAGATGGATGCGTGTGGTAGAGATTGAAACTCTTGCGTAGAACTTTCAGATGCTGTGAAAAGAGAGAAAAGTAGAAAATAGAGACAGAACTTATGTTAAAACACATAACACACATTAAGCTAGACATCAACATTTAATGTAAAATATTAAATAACACAGATAATACAAACCTACAATTACAGGATCTTGTATGACTAAGTACTACTAAAGAAAATAATAACATAAATCTCCTTTCCCTACCTCCATCCAGAGATCTTCGTTGTGTCTTTGACGGTTTGCTCTTTTGAGATGCTGGCTCAACAGGTTGAGACGCAGGTCTCTGACGCTGGGGCTTAGAAGGACCAGCTAATACACCAAAGCAACAGATATGTTAGTACACAGAACATGCAACAGATTAGCAAAAAGATATAACAATTTACAACATACTACTACAGAACAGCACTACAGTATAGTTAGTAAGTAAACTAAATGTTACGCAAATTGAAAAGTAAAATCAAAACAGAAGTAAAATAATTTTCAAAGGTAATAAAAACAAACGTGTAAGGCTAGATAAAGTTCAAGTTTTATGAATAAAATACTTTAAGTATAAAAGGTAAGATAAAAAGTTAAGAAACCAATAATGTAAGGAGGAAGTAATAAAAACAAAATTTCACATACAAATTAAGAGCTTGATATGTGCTAAGTGAGCAGTGAAGAGACAAAACATGTGAAAAAGCCAAGTAGCAACATGCAATATTTAAGTTAAAGTATAATATGAATCTGTCAACCCACTACAGGACCTTTTTTATCTTTCAAAAACTGGATCAAAAATCTTGATTTTAAAGATGAGTATGTACTTGAGAAAGTATACAACTTAGATCGTTGAATTTATCCGATGCAACTGTTGAATTTGAATTGATTGATAGGTTTTCTATTTGATTTGGATAGATTTAGAGCTATAAAATATCATTGCTGTTTGGTTCCATAGGTGCTGACATCTTCTCTAAGGCAAAAATCAGAAAGATTGCAATTTTCGATTTGAGATAAAAAATTTGGATGACACGCTACATTCCCTAGTTTGATTGTTTTCGAAATCAAAAATAGTTCATCTGCAGACTAAGCCATTGAAAGAGACGATGGACTTCTCAAAATTCACTTCAACATGAACTAATGGACTGGTCCGATGAAGGGGGGGGGGGGGCAGACTACTGGGACAAATCAATATGGACTGGTCCAATGTAGGGGTGACAGACTACAAGAACCTACCGTCACTATCCTCTTCCTCATCAGAGGCATCCTCCCCTGGATCCTCCTCACCTTGCTGGTCTGCTTGGTTAGAATGCAGGGAGAAAACAAGGTTAAGTTACAGGAGGATCATCTCACAGAAAAATGCACACAGTGAGCACAAATAAGAAAAGTACAGCAACGAAAGCACGCAGAAAACATGTGGTTGATATTTGTGTAAATACAGTAAACCTGATATGCTGGACACCTCTATTTAAGTCATAATCTAAGAAAGCTATAGGTGTATTGTATGAGTGTAACATATGTATAGGTGTTACTGTAACACATCTTTGGACACATGAGGATAAATACAAGTAGAGAGAACCTAGTTAATATTAGACATGCATTGAATCTTTGTGTGACTGTTGTAGAGTCTGGATACTTGAAAGGGGTATATACAGTGAAATATTTCAACACCATTTTGTAACATTCTGAAACTCATGCATATTTTGTAAATAATTGTTACATTTCAGGTTAATGAGAAATCCATGATGTTTGTGTTATTGTATGCCATATTAGATGCTATTGTATGCCATATTAGATGTTATTGTATGCCATATTATATGATTCTCTCAACCTGGTCTTATCCAGACACCATTGAACACTGAAGCAGATGTATTCAACATAGCATTTCTCACACAAACCTTTTTCTTTCTTTCCAATGGAGTATGATGAAAGAATATTAGAATATTTAGGGCACAAAAGTAAAGGAGGAGAGGCTCCCATGAATCTCTAGCAATATTCTCAGAGAATATCATACAGTGTTTTATTATAAGGCTGAGAAATTCTGGGATAAGACAATCCTCCCTTGGTGACAAGTTGAGAAACACAGATCAAATACATTGGGTCTTTTCTAACCTGTATACTGAAAAAGAGTTAATTCCTAACTTCTAAACATCATGTGACTAACATAGAAATGAGGAATGAAGCGCGATGAAACAAAACAACAAAGGAGAACAGAAAAAGCAAAAATTGCAGCTCTTTAAAAATAGCAAAATAAACATGTAGTACCCATCAGCCTTATTTGACCCTTGTCTTAGACAAACTCAATTTGTCATGAGAATCTCCATGACTATGGAAAATTCCATATCAACAATGGAAAATTCCACTGTTTATGATATTTGTTAGGGACTTACATTGTGGGCTTTGTTCAGGCCGTCTGTCTGAGGAAGACCGTTGTAATTTCACAGCAGGAGCTGGGTCTACAGTAAAACATGCAGCAATAAAAAATAAGCATTACTATATTACATGAAAAAAAAATTCTACTTTCTGATCAGGAAAATTCTTTTTGTGTCAGATTTTCAAGTATTCTAAAAAAAGTTCTATGATCAACTCAACAGAACTTTTGGAGAGAGAAATGTAAACAACATCTGACACTGGAAATTTTCCAAATGAGAACTATGAAATAAATCTATTAATCTAAATGATCAATCATATTTTGAAACTAAACTAAAAATCATTCAAAACAAAATATTTCTATTTTACTACTGTTAAACATAAAAATGTTCTAATTCTAGATTTAGTTTTAAAACAACATAACATCAACTAAAATCTAAACATGCAAAAATTTTAAAAAAATTAAAAGCTAAAATTATGCAGAAAATCAAATAATGCAAATCTGTAGGTATATGGATATGGGCAACAGTAATAAGGACTACATCATATTTAGAACAAAGAACATGAAAAATATTATTAGTCACAGTATCAAATTCTTGAATCTGGAATAAACAGCATTCCTAAAAACAATAAAAATGTGTTATTTTAATCAACTGCATGCACATAACTGAAATGCATTGTAACTTTTGGGTTCATTAGGACAATTTAGTTCTTCCTTTATTCAACATGCAGAAAAATTTGTCAAACCATCATGCTTTCACACTACCCTGACTATAAGCTGATTGTCTTTATAAAATGATCAAATCAGAACTCTGTTCCCCATGCGTTTTCAGAGAACAAACTAAACTTCTAATTTATAAATCCATGCTGCCAGGTCCATACACTAGAAATATCGTAATTCACTAATTCAGGGAAATGAAAAACAGTTTCATTTAATCAAAATCATGAATGACGAGATTTTTTCGTGATAGACCTCTGAAAATGCAGAATGTTGGATGATTTCTCCAATGTTAACCAATGTATGTTAATGACCAGGGAATGTGAGGCACCAAGACTTCTCTATATAAGAAGCCAAAGCAGTGGCATGACTTGATGTTGTGTGTACTGTATGGGATGATTGTGTGGATGAACAGCCCCTAGGCAACATTCCAGGTATCAAAAGTACCTAAAGCTCAATAGAATCTGAAGCTGTAAAGCTATGTATGGATCCACCTCTTGGTACTTATCAATTACCATTTCTCTAATGAGTTGATCAAACGGTTTAGCCACATCCTTGAATAACCAAAATCATTCTCAACTTTTCTTCCATGAATTTACCAATTCATGTCATAGCAAATTGCTGGTTTTTTATCCAATATGTGCACCAAGAGGTCAATTTATATGAAGAGCATAAACTGATGATGATGATAACTGGTTGCATGGTAACTGGTTGCTATGGTTACCTGGGGCATCAACCACCTCTATTTTAGTAACAGGGGGTTGTTCTGGAGATGGCTGGCTTTGTACCGGTAGTGGTGCAACTGGCTCTGGGAGAGGAAAGTATTCATATTCATACAAATTCTTAATAAATTCACTTATCTCAAGATCTAGAAATGTGTCATGCAATGTATAAAGATACCATGAATTTCTGGTTTTCTTTGAAAGTTCACTAGCACAATATCTCTGATTTCAATAATTTAGGCTGTTATATACCAAGATGCCTAAAAATAACTTTACAATAAAGTCTATGTGTCATAATCAAGCAAAAATAGTGTTACTGACTTCATTTTTTTACCTACAGCTAGAAAACATTTTGATCCTCCATGTTAGAGAATAGAAGAGTATGGTATTAAGAAGATGTTTTATCTTCATAAGTTAACAACAGCGTTTTTTAAGCCCATTATTGGATATGATTCATTACATTCATCAAAATTATGTAACCATATTCAGTGAAAATTCATTTTTTGAAAGTGTGATATTGCAGAGAGCCACTTTTTGCCAGTGAATAACTACCTTAACAATTTTAACAACAGAATTCATAAACTGACAAATTGGGCTCCTTCCCAAGTACATGCAGACCATAGATTCCCCGAACATCTAGTTGAAGTATTACCCCCACTGAAGGCCCTAGTCGAGCCAATACGAGCTAGTTCTCTCCCAATCCTCTGCATATCATCCCTTGTTAGACTGTCTAACTCCCCTAGACCCAATATTACATGTTAACATTTAAATGCGTGACAATCACACCAATTGTTATAAAAAGAGTAGTTTATCATCATAAATCTCAAAAAGAAAAATCATGAATTGCTGGAATGACATCCTAAAAGGGAATACAATAGTCATTATAGTAATTGGAATTAACATCATCAACAACATGATTAGAAACACAACAATATTATAATAAAGATATACAGTATAGAATCCACACATTCAAACTTGGGATTATTTGATGATGGCATTCCAATAAGGCAGATTATTCCCCTGTGTTATATAATTCCAGAATAGTAATCATATAATCTAATAAACACTGGTCTGACATAATGTGTTATGCATATTCAGTACAAGTGGGTTAATAGCCTTATTGAAATGTCTCAATCCATAATAGTTCTAGTCTAGCTACAAGACCCTGTGACCCCCCTACTTGACTTCACAGGTATAAAAACATCTCATGGGAGGTATGTAGTGGGTGGGGGGGCACAAAAGGTGGTAGCTTGACTATAATAGTTCAAAAGGGAGCAATATAACCATGGTTTCCAGATTACATATACAAATACCTTCTTTCATCAAGTCTGCTCATATCATGAGTTAATATCCCTAAAATAAAGCCTAAGGGCCTGGTGAGAGTTAGATACATACCATCTATGTTTGTTTCTTGAGGTTGGGATTCTCGAAGTTGTTGTTGGCGTTCTTCAGAAGATATCAATTGTCCATCAGGGCCAGGAGTTAGCTCTGGGCTCTCTGGCTCACCTAGAACACCATTGTGGGGTTAAAAACACACAGCAAAAACACATAACACAGGTTTATATACTCTCTGCACTAAACACAAAACCTCTCAATAATGGAGATTCTGATTTTTTTGTGATGTCAAAGACAAGTGCATCTTGGCATAAAAATATGAATGTTAAATACCTCACATCAAACAATGTTATATCATATTATATTCCAATAATTACCTCAGATTAAAAAGTGAAGGCAAAATAATTGCACCAAATTAAACATTTTTTTTTTCACAAGTGTCACAGTTTAATACACAACCCTAAGAAACATGGCATATCAGGTGACCAATTAATGGAGAGGCCTCCACAGATCAAGCCATTTTATAGGGTTGTGCGCAAGACTGTGTTTAAGAAAGAATTTCAATGTGCAAATATATCAACCCAAAGTGTAGACATTCAATATAGTTTACCTCTAGCTTTTCTCTCAATTTCTTTCTGGTAGGCCTCTACATCATCCTGGGTGACGTTGTCAAAGGGATTGGCAGCATAGTATTGTTTGTAGACCACTGCATTGTGCTGGTGGTCTCTCTGGATGATACCTTTAGAGGCAGCTCCAATTTGAATGCCCTGTTTCAGTTCACCAGTTCCATCCTCCTGAAGGAAAAACAAAAGTAGAGATTTAATAATGAACTTTGATGCTTTTGCCTCATCACTAGATTATTAAAATAAGTTGTAAGAAAAAATATTTTATTCTACACTGCACAATAAATAACTAGTCTTAAAACACAATATCTGATTAGTCAGGACATATGGCTGTGATGCTTACCTTGGCCTCCTCCCAAGTTGTCCCTTCCAAAACTTTAGATTGGGGTCCAGATGTGATCTTTTCCCCACTGAAAACTTTACGAATTTCTTGTGTTCTAGCTTTAAGCTCTTTTGTATCTCCGCCAGGAACGACAAATGCATTAGCGCCCTCTATTTTTACAGCTGTGCCAACCCTGGTCGGGGAACCAGTGTCCTTCCATTTAGTTATTGTTTTGGGATTAGGTGTTCCTATTTCTTTAATTTCTTCTTTAGAGTAAACATTAGGAGAATTAAGCCAGACTGACTTGCCTTGCTGTTTCTGCCTAGTTAGAGCATCTTTAATTGGAGATCTGTAACAACAGATGAATATGAATCAGCTTATTGAACAATTCAATTTTCCAGGTAATTTTTTTATACAGGATTCAATACAAAATGCATTAAAAAATTACATGGGATACCAAAAAGCAAAGGAGTATACAAAGAGAAGAAATACGTGCTAAAAAATAAAAATTAAACGAAAAAATCTCAAAATGTATTCTGTGAAGTATCGTAATATTTGTAGTTAAACTTACGTAAAACGATCCATATCATCTTCATATGGACTTTCACCAACAGCTGTCACTGCTGGTGGAATCTCTACTTCACTTGCTGTTCGGTTCTTCATCATCTTAGTGACTGGATCTCTGTACACATAACCAGTTCTGAAGCCCTGAAAGTCACAAAAATATATTTTACATAAAATATTCTATATATTTTACATAAAATATTCTATATATTTTAAATAAAATATTCTATTCAGACATTTTAATCAAAAGATTAATAGTCGCACCTCATGAGACAATCAAAAATACTACATTGAATGAACAATTAATTTTCTTTTCCAAAATATCATTTTTCATTCTCTGTGGCAAAGACAGCATTATTGAAAGATTAAGAGAGAAGATGATAATATACAGTATTCCCAAAAAGGTCATTACAGTTGAACTTACTGCATTATCTAAATGCCTCATAAGGGCTTCAAATTCTAACTCTCCTAAACGCCACTTTCTGGCTGATGTATCAACACCACCGCCTCCTACATTGGCAAACTCATTTGTCTTTTGTTGCACATCCTCAGGGATTCTTATTATGTTTTCTTCACCAATTGGAAGTAAGCGAACCTGAAATGAAAAAATGTGTTTTTGAAGGATTGTTGCGCCTTCAAGATAGCAATTTTAAGAATCAAGAATCATTATGTCCACTACAGTACTACCATGTGCTGAATTTTGAACTGGAAGTACATTGTACAAGCCAATTATTACATTACAGATATGTAGTTCTATGTGCATTCAATACAAGACAAGACAGATTTCTCATTATCTCAATCAATCAAGAGGAGATAAATAATATTTAATTGAGATATGGTAAATCAACCAGTCTTAAAACCAAATCTTAAATTCTTCATGAATATGTGTATATCAGCTCAGTCTAGCTCCCCTGTTTAAGCCTGTGACTGCAAATAAACCCTGATGAAATAGAAGTCATACACATACCCCCAAACACATATTGGTGACATATAGCACCTACCTGTGTTTCACATGCATGCATGAGGTTGAAGGCATAATGCCAGGCCTCCTCTATGGTAGCCCCACAACACACTACACCATGGTTACGCAAGAACATCACCTGAAATAGAAATATAATTAAGGTAGGTTCTTATCATGCCATATTTTATCATATTATTGGGCTATTTTACATAAATTCATGCCATGTTTTTCTAAACTATGAAACAACTAAGTTCAGCACCAATTTAAATTGGTTTACTTTATCATGACATCTGAATTCATAAGTCAGGAAAATGTATATTTTGCATTACAAGGCGGAAAAATATGTTATAACGATGAGAGCAGGGTAACTAAGAACTCTGTGATAATAATGGAATCCTTAAGTTTTTAGATCAGAATCTAAAGTATTTAATTGGTTTTTATTTTTGGTCAATTCTCACTTTATTTGTGACTCCCAAGTTTCTGGCAATTGCATCGCGCTCTTCATCTCCATCTACGATACCATTGTATTCATGGTAACTACAGGCCCCTACGATACATGCCTCTTGGCACACTGGCATCAGACCTTCCTTCATGGCAGATACCTAGAGGAAAAGTTAACCATCAATACACTAATTCATTCACCCTTTGAAAGCTGTGATATGCTATCAATATCATGTAGATTCTCTATTATTCCAAAAGGTTTATAAGATCTTTAAGGTAATTCTGTATGGTGGAATCAATTCAAAACCATACTTTATAAAAAATATGTTTAAATCTGCCCACCCCCCCCCCCCTACGCTTTGATAGACCTTGTTTAATACTTACAGCGACAGCAGCTGGTGTATGTAGGTGAATGATAACTCTGATATCTGGGCGTGCTTGATGTATGGCAGAGTGGAGAGTGTATCCAGCTGTGTTGATGCCTAGGTTTGTCACGCCAGGGTCTATAATGTCTCCCTGCATGTCTACCTTTACAAGGGAGGCTGCTGTCACCTCATGGTACAACATACCGAAAGGGTTGATCAAGAAATGCTCTAAGTCTTGGCTCACACGAACCTAGAAATAACAAAAGTTGAATCATGTTAGGTACAAGCTGATGCTTTCTCTAAATCAATAGAAATTGACACTAATAATAGTGTTAATGCTTTGCTCAATGGGATGCTGTACTCAACATAATAGTTCTGGCAAATCATGATAAATTTATTCTCAAATATAGAAAGATGGCAGCTATGTTGATTCTAGGAAGGCTAATGAAGACATAGAACACGGAACACCCAACTGTAGTAATTACAAGCTCATTATGGTACAAATGATCATTAAATGATTATATCAGCATAGCATTTATACCCTATGAAATATATAGCTGTCATTCTAGACCCAATTATTAACATAAAGAAATTGCTAATTAAATTAGATGAAATGACTTGAACAAATGACACCACATATTTATCAACAGATACCAATCTCTTAGTAGAATTTATTTCTTATTGAAACAAATTGTAAAACAATTGATGATAAAAAATTAGTGTTGGTTCTAAGAGGTCTACTAACAATGATATCATAGGAACAACAAGCCACAAGTATGCAGGAAAAACACATTACTCCATGTGAACAGGCATCAAATTCTGAAACTCAAGATAATGAATCTTTCTGTTTATTTGAAGATATATTACCCCAGGCATTGCACAAGATTGACAGGCCCATATGACAAGAACATTACACCAGGCTTTCCATATACTAAACATACCACTTGAGTGTTTTTTGAGGTTGACCAAGATATCAATTCATGACCACATGGCTATAAACACTCGTAAACTACAATTAAGACAAGTGTTGCAGACTTCGCTGGTTTTCTAGATCTTTAAATTCCTCAATGTGGATGCTATTTCGCTTCTAACCTCTAACTATGACATCTGTACATATATACAGTTACATGTCTACATCATTGCAGTGAGAACATGTTGACTGGAAAGCATATTGCACCATGAGATAACCATCTTTGGTTCATTATGTTAAAAATCCTTGTGAATCTTTAACTGAAATTGGGATACAGGGAGACATATTAGTAGAGAGGTATGTTGTTCTTTATAAAGAGCATGAGTTCAATGGTATGACAGTATGACAGATCCATCTCCCAATACAATCTACTACACTGTATACCTGGGAATACTTCTAAGAATTTGAGATTAAGAGGAACACCATCCCTCTTCAAAGGACTTCTGTTGAGGCCACTTAGTTTCATTTCACAGTCTATATACAGTATATAGTATAAGTAATATAATATAAGTAAGTAGTATATACAGGGTGTCAAAAAACAACGGCACCCCCCTCTACAGCAAAAACTTTTAAATGTTACATGGCATGTCATATCTCATTTGAAAGATAATTTAATTCCGGAGTTACTCGTAAAATTCATAAAACTTTAAATTAAAAAAGCTATATTGTTTCAAAGTTTGCTACATCAGTACTTTGTTTGCTACTTTATTACTGGTTTAAGGTCAAATCTTGGAAATGATTAGTATGTAGGAAATAGCCCAGATCTCAACTACGCTGAACATTTAGGTTCAATTGTTCAAGACAGGGTAGGGGAATTGATGGAGAGGGGGCCTCTTGGAAAAAGATACAGTAAGGATGTATTTCTGAAGAATATGAGGAAAGTGCTTTAAGGATTACGCAATGCTGAACCTTTCTTTGAATCTTCATTGAAATCATATTCATCCAGATTAGCTGCTTTTCGAGTGGCAAGTGGTGGCCATACCAACAACTTATAATCAACTGTAAATCTGTAAAATTATATAATAAGGAGCTGAAATTTCTCATGTAACTCCAGAATTAAATTGTCTTTAAAGTGGGATATGACACACTCTGTAACATTAAGTACATTTTGCTCTAGAGGGGGGTGCTGTTGTTTTTTGACACCCTGTACATTTGTATAAGTAAGCCATTGTCTGATTGAGTAGAACTGCAGATTTGCGTTGTCTGCAGTAAGGGTATATAAAATACTATATACCCTGCTGTAATGATGGAGGAACTCTCATATTACACTATATAGCCAAAGTTGATCTTATGATACAAAATGATCCTCTGTTTATCTTAGATGGGTAAACAGTTAATAATTGTACCCTGAGTCATGTAGTAGGATTACTTGTAATGTCAGGTTAACTTACATTGACAGGAGCTATAAATATATAGCATAAGGCACAACATCATGCTCTCCAACCCATGACAAGCTAGTATCTTTTTGGACAGGATGTTTTATGGCAATGTGACAAAGGTGTGTCTCAATAAACAGCATCCATGTTTGTCTGTGTAGGCGTTAGACTTGTTGATAGATGGATGCAATGTACATGTACCTATCTATAGGTGGTGCTTACTATTAAAGCCTGTGGGTTATTCAGTTATTTGAAAATTAACGGGTAGGAAATAGAGCTCAATAGACTAGATGCGAGTAGACAAAATCTTGATTTATGTCATTAAATATTCAAAATTCAGTCAAAGTGATGTCATATTTGAAATCTACATGTAAAAGTACATTTAGAAATATGGTTTCGAAAATTGTTTATCAACTTTGAAAAAAAAACGACTTCTCATTCGGGTTGATTCCCCATAGACCCAATGTTACAAAATCACAAAAAGTGAAATATCTTTTCTTGCATCGGACGGATAACATTTTCTTTTACTGGACATATTTTAATTCGCATAACTATTAGATACATAAGGGTTATATGAAAATTGAACCACTAAAACAAATGTAATTTAATTTAAAGGGAACTTTCTGCTATACCCGCCATGCTATCTGACCCGAACGAGGCACCTGGCGGTGAAACTGGTAACTACCTACTCGCATCTGCGTTATTCATGAATAATGCTAAATTCAAAAAAGCAGTTTGGTAAACATACATGTATGTCCTTTTCTACTTCCATCCAATCTTATACGTTCTATCAATCGAAATACTTTCTACCAAAGAATAACAGTCAATTAGATAATTAATAGAAGATTAGCCAAGAGTGGAAGTACTTCTCAGAGCTGTACAAGAGACTGTTACTATTGTACAATATTGTATAGGAGAGTGATAATCCACCCATATAGCTGAAGGGTAGAGTATGTACCCATGGCACCATGCTTTATGCCTGTTCCAGGCCAGAATGATTTGCTTCTTGCATTTTGGCGCATGTACTTTCAGGGCATTGACTGGGTGATTACAAGAGGCTATGGTGTGTAATTGCATGTCTGTCAGTGCATAAAAAATAACACTGTAAATGAGGGAGTCTCAGAGTCTTTCATGGTTACAAAAAAGAATTATGACTGTGAAATACAAAAATGCATACTGTATGTATATTATACTCAAGGGGTTGTGCTCACCTTCAATAATGGTAAACAAAATAAAACTAACAATACAAAAACATAGGTCTCAGCTGTGAGAGAATGAGTTCTCCTTTGGTATAGGTTCATGTTCAAGAGAAATCAATGTATTTGGAGAATGGAAATGATGGAGAAATGTTGGCAGGTACAGAGTAACCTAACATTAACAGTAACATTAGATATTTATATACACTGCAATTAGGATGATGAGTGTTAGTGGAATGACTAGACACTACATGATCACTGTTTATTGTATGTTGGTGTTTGGTATCATTGCACATCTCTAACTTGTGATTTGAATGTACACCCCCCCCCCTCCACTCCCTGGCAGCTTTCAAACAAAATAATTTTCCAAGCTATTTCTTTTAAAATTAATAAAAAATACGACATCAACAATAAAAATTAAATTTAACTATCTGTTCAATTATTCTATCTATTATTTACAAATAGTTCTTAAGCTGTAATTTTTTCAACTCCCCTCCCATTTCACAAATGTAAAACATGATCACTTTGGCTTCTACTTCACCTGTATTCTGACAGAAACGTTCCCTTACAAACCCTTTCAAAAATTCAACAAAAAACCAAGGCAACCTCAGTATCAGTTAATATTACCATGGGAAATATAGCCATGAACGGAAAACATCAATGTGGTTCACTGATCTTGGCCCAATGCTAGGTGTTACTAATATGCAGACTGAGGAGTGAAGGTGTTGCTAGTTACGGAGGCGTTACCATAGAGATGGGATAAACATAATAGCAGTTTTATCACAAATTTGAGTTATTTCTAACATCTTTCCATTGGGCTATCTCTGGCCATACCTAATAATATTTTATCTATTGACCTTTAAGTGTTTCAAGTATATTGCAAGAATAGTGGAAAGTTAGTCCTGCATCAAATCATCCCCTTGCTCTCATTTGTCTATTTTCATGACTGAGACTAATATAAGACTAGTGGTTAGTCAGAGTTCATTGTCAAAATACAGATGACTTTCTATATTTGGTTAAAATCCTCGGATATCATCGGGTAATAAATAATAATAAATAAAAAATGGTCTCGCATTTAACATGTTCCTATCAGCTTGCTGATTGGTTGAGAAAAAGGTCAGCGAAATGAAATGAAATGATTTATGACCCGGGCTGTCAGGGTCACCCGTCATGGAGACAGAGTTGCTAAATTGTAATATAGTCTATACTAGGCAGAGGGTAGTTCATAGCTAGACTGCGCGCAGGGTAGTAAGTCTCCAGTTCCCCCCCCCATTCTATTTTCTCGTTATTACCTAAGGCAGTGTGAGAATTCTGAGTGTCCATGGCTGGGAATGAGTAGCAAAGGCACTTGATACAAGGATAGAATTCATTTGCTGCATTGAACCCAGAACAACAGACAGAATACATGTACACTGTATGATATATAACACTTCTGCAAGATAATGATGGGTCTAATGAACCAAGAATAGCCAGAAGCCAAATATTTACAACAGGGTTGCAACTCATGGAGAAATCCTTTGATCTGTTCTGTTTCTGAATGTAGGAAACCCAACTCTCCTTCCATCAAAATATCAATGTTATGGTAACTCCAGAAACATATTATTCAATCCTGGCAGATCTGAGGCAGCTATCAACTCATGGGAAATGGACATTATTCTATTGGATATGAGCTTATTAGATTTTGGTATCAGGCTTCAATTCAAAGCTGGATTATTATTCACCTCTTGGTATCCCCTTGTGTAGTCTAACATAGCCATGTGAAAAACTAACAATCAAGTTATTGGCATCATGTAGCACTATGGAGCTCCAAATGCATCAAAGATATCAGAAACTCAAAATAAATATGCTGAACTTATAAGTTGAGTTGTGAATGAATCAAGCAAAGGCCATCAACCACCCCTCCCTCTTCCCATATGCCATGAAGTATGTTGCAATCTGAAGATTGAGTATGTTGCTAAAACAGAAGCTAGTAATTTAACCACCAAGCTCTGTCACAAATGGTAACACATGACTATGAATACAGACAATTGCATTAGCTCCAGATACAATCTGGAAGCACTAATAGCAACATTTAGAGAATACAAACGCCAAAAAAACATATAAACCTATGATCTCCATTTTCATTTAAGCATTAGACTCTTTTTCAACTGAATACTTCACAAAATTTCCATCCATAGTAACTAGTTAGCTGTAGGCATGGTAACCAGTTAGCTATATTCAATATGTACCCATATAATAGTGCATGTAGAATCTTATCTTTGGCAAATAAAGTCTGTGACAGATGTAACTATGCAGTTAAATGTCAATTGTAGACAACCACCTCATAGACAGATATTGTGATGATGTTAAATGGGTTAACCAGTATCTAACATTGGGAAATGGAACTACATTTGTACATGGATCTAAAACTTGTTTTCTAATATATTTTTCATGAAAAAACTTAAAAAGTCATTGCAAGAAACCAAAGTTTCCTTCATATCACCTGTTGATATTTACGACCTAAAATACTCTATCAAATAAAGCTTTTATATTTTTATTGAAAAAATGTACATCTGCATTCAGCAAGGTTGCCATGCCATTGATCTTTATAATGTATTCATGCTATGTGTCTAGGCAATAAAACACAATTCATTTTTTATTTCATCTGATCGAATCTGTATAAATAATAGGGAATGGCGCCAAGTTGATGTATGAATGGCTGAATGTTGAATTAATTAGATATCATAATGAGTCTACAAGCAATCAACACAAGCTGGCTTTTAATAGTATTTTTGTTCAGGTAAAACCTATACTATTATCCAGTATTTAATTCTAGCTATTTTTAATCTTTTTTAATTTCATGTTTTTCAACAGCATAAACATGTGCAAAACAAAAAGCATCATTAACCCCATTCAACCATATGATCAATACATGAATATACATCATTATATTTTGAAACCTTAAACAGAACAATATATTCATTCAATTCACTTTTTCATGGGAGTTCATTAACCAATTCCAAAACCCAAGCTAACATATTAAGAATGTAGAAAAGTCAGGAGAAAAGTATGTTGATATATATAACGCTATGTAACACTATATAACCCTCTCACCTGCATGATATAAAATCATCACTACATGATTAGATAAGACAGGGATCTTATATAATGGTAAGTGTGGGTTAAGTGCTTGGGGATTACACAGCTTGCCATTTAGTATTAATCAATCAGGATCACCTTTGGTGGGAAATCATTTCACATGTCAACTCCAGAAATGCATCTTATGCAGCTGGGGGACTCATAGTCACATGGCCACTATTGCTGTATTGTTTTGAACTGAACAGATAAAAGACACAGGTAACCCATTCTAGCAGTACTGGGAATATTTACATATTATATGAATGAAATATCTTGGTCCACCCATATAATACCTTCCAGTCATAGTATAATTGATGAAGATGTGAATGAAATGTGAACACTACTATCTGTGAAGCCACTTCAGATAATCCAGTACAGGTAACAGACAATTCAGATAAGAAACAAGAATGACATCAGACACTTTAATGTCAAGTCAATAACAATTGACTCTCAGAGAAGTACCTTCAAAGAGAGACACTTATGGGATATGTTGTACATCCCCTAGTTACATGTCAACAGGTTTTAAAATGTGTAAAATGGCTCTAACTTAACGAAATCTACCAAACTGAACCTCACAAATTGTGTTTATGAAGTAAATGGCATGCCGGCACAATACTCTGGTAATGGGTTAGACCTGGGGATTTCTTCCATTCAAATACAATTCTAATAAGAATCTCAACCAACATGTGGACTGACTGACCTGTAGCCAGGCCTATACCTAGAACTAAAGCAACCATATATTCATCATTATTTCAATTACAGAACATTGCCTTGTGAACTTATCCAAATGCTAGTCATTGGAGATTAGCCAGGGCAGAATGATCTTGATGCAATTTCTGCAATTATCAATGATATTAACTAGAATTGCGGATCAATGTTGGTAGACATTCCCAGACAAATGTCCTATAAATATAGATCATATCTGGTGCACAGGAGGTCAAACACGACCAGAATGCATTGCTTTTAACCTGACACCCAAGGCCATTCAAGGAATTGCTAAATTGGACACCCAAGGTCATTCAGTTAATTTAGATTTGATTCGTGGGATTGAATAATCTTTCAGGATTTTGCTGCGTTGATTATTGTAAACACCTTATCAATTTCTGTGTAAGTGGAGGAAGTGAAGAGTCACTAAACTACATCAGGACTTGAAAATAAAACTTTGATAAAGTCATTTAGAAAACCAATTTTCAACAATCCATTAACATGCAAAGTGTCACCAACTGCCATTTGTTACCAATACTGATCGCCGTTACAGATACCAAACACCAATCATCAAACACCAGTCACAAAAAAGTTGGAGACTGTAATAACTATATTTATTCCTGGTCTACCTAAGTCCCCATGAAATTGTGCTATCTGCCTGGTTAACCATAACAACAAGGTGTTCCATATGGACGCTGATATGGAAGGGGTGTGTACATAAAGTGATTACTTGGCCATACCTCAACTAACATTTAGGCAAATCCTAGTGCCTAATCCCTCCACTGGCAATTGAGACAATGATCGATAATCCTCATATATTTTCTTGTTCAATCAGACTGTACAATATAAAATAGTACAATTGCATGACAAGATTACTTTCCCTATTCTTTAGATTGTTCCTCACATAAAGGTCTACTGACATGACCACAATGCAACATGATATTTTAGAAGATTCTTCAATAAAATCATGGGATTGTCATACCTCGCTCTGTATTATTCTCTGAAGATGGAATATATACCACAATGCAACATTACTTTAATTATGACTTAACCAGTATCCAATGAGGAAAATGTTTCTGGGCTTTTAAAGGATGTAATTTAGATTAATCTTCTCTTGTTATGTCAAAGGCAGAAATAATTTAATCATACTAAGAATCAAATCAAAGTTGCATTATCTGTAATTTTTAGAGAATTCCTATCATGATTAGTACAGTGAGATTGATTTAATGATGATTAAGAAACCTCTAATTTTAAGTAATTCGAGGTCTCGTAGAACATTTCATTGGATCACATTCTTCAGTTCAATTTAAAGGAATGTAAGTCCATGTAAGATATTGCCAAATGTCATGTTTTGATTAATGTTAAAGTATCAAATATCGGAAAACATATTGGAATATCTATTAATAAATATGAATTCTGACAAATCGTAAATTGATATGTAAAATGGATATGCCATAAAAACATGAATCTCTAACTACAGGAAACCTACTAAATATCACGATCCCATCCATGCAAACTTGTTTATCAAGATCTAAGTCAAGTATGTTTTGGCGATGAAAGTGATACTAAATCATAAAACATGGGAGGTTTTAACAATTCTTAATGCCAAACTAAGTCTGAGTGCAATTTTTTGCTTCATTACTGTAAATACAGCAATGTACTGCAAGTTCTATGTTGAAAGATGAGGATTGATTCATAAATAGCAATAATATTACTGCTTCTCTGATCCTGAATTTTGAATCAAAGGAATCATGGGAGTAAAGCTCCTTTATAAATGCCTCTGACATATATGTTTCCGACAAGTTGTTTTGAAGTCCATCATAAATCATACCTCTCCCACTAAATGCTAAATCAACCCTCTACCACTTAACCCTCAAGTGGCATTATCCATTGAAAACTAGTTCAGATAACCTCAGTTTATCCCAAACTATGCCTTGATGAAACTATAGTGGCAGGAGCAAGATCTTAGCATGTACATGTCCTCAGATATAAAATTCTGGAATCATGGTCATTCACTATGTTACATTGAAATGACATATATGGGCACCATGAAGCTTGTTACCCCAAAGAAGAATAGTGAGGAAGAAATGATCTGGATAACTAACCCACACAGGATCTGAGAAAAAGGAGGTGATTATGAAGGAACGTTGACTTACTGTTATATGGTTGTAGATGCCGTGTGTCCATCCATAGAGATCTACAAGCCTATAGGTGGCTGCTAGTTTACAGCGCAAAAGTCTCTCTCCTTTATTGTAGTACTTGGCATCCTGGCCCTTGATGTCATTCACAGGGACAATAGTTCCACCTCCTACATTGAAGAACACATGCATGGAAAAGATTTCCAGACAACTCAGACCAAAGACAACTTGGGTTCGGGTTCTCCAGGGTCTGAGTTGTCCGGTAACCATAGAAAACCTATGACCTTTGTAAGATGAAATTCAAGGGTTCAAATTTTGGAATATTTTATTTTTCTAAACTATCTATATGTTATTTTGGAATGATTAAATTAGAAGAATATAAGGTGTCTCACTTTTACACTTTCAACTTTTAATTGTTGAGCAGTCATGTAGTAATTTATTTATAATGGATTTATATCAAAATTGTTATATTTGTGCTTATCTTATGTTTTCCCATGTACTCCCTCGCCACCAAAAGGTGTGATTAATAATTTCAAGATAACTAAGTGAAGACATAAAATAACCATGTAATACTTGTTAAAAGAACTATTAGTGACTAATTCCACACTTACCCGATAGACCTACAAAAAGAGAGAAAATAAAAATTAGAAATTGTGAATTACAAAGGTGTGACTCATGATAGCAATACAATCTAGTGGAAAGCATGTTAATAAGCTTTGTTACATGATGACAAAATATATTTATCAATATCCTATGGCCTAAGTCTATATTGTAAGAACTGTCAACTGTATTGTCCCTCATACTTTGCTGTTGGTATGGTTAAATAAGACTTTGCTGAGATGATTTTTTGAATATTGGCATTTGTGATTCGGCAAATTCGGGCAAATATATAAGTGTGCTCATACCTTTTTGTAGACTGGCACTCTGGTTAAACTTTGCTTGAGGGAGGAGTAACTCTGTGATAGAGGACAGAGCAAGGATGCTGTTGGGGTGGGGACCCTTTGACAGCTGCTCCACCGCAATGTGTTCTAACTCTTCACGAAACTGTAAACTGTTGAGAATTAGAGACACACGTTTGCGTCTTTCCATCTGAGTGACATCTTCTTTCACCTCTGCAGGCCGTTGCATTTCTCGCTGGTAAGCTGGGTCATCGGGATCTGAAGAATGAAGTATGCAAGCAATGTATTAACATGGTAATGGTGGTACACTGTATACTTTTGTTAGGCTAATGGCTTTTAGAATCACATTGCTGCAGTCTCCAATCAGCAACCTACAAATGAAGTCAGTATTAAGTCAAGTATATTAGATAACAGAAATAAAAGTGAAATCATATTAAAGCAAAGTCTAAGGAGAGATCTCCAAAAATTACAACCATCTGACAAAGTGTATGGATCAAAATTGACCGACCAAATGAACTTGGCTTTTCTTGTATTTGACATACACTGTACTAGGATCTTAGCTTATGACATATTGACATACCTGTAATGATTGCATTGATAACATTGTTAGCTCTCATTTGGGCAAGTCGCATGTTGCGTTGGTGAGTAGGCATGGTTCGACAATTGTTCTCCATGAATGCACTCACAGCTTTGATATCTGATGTTGTAAGTTCTAATGTCTCCCTTGCCAAACTTATCTTAGAACCCCTTTCATCATACGGCTGAACAGTTACACTTTCTGTGGTTTTCTTAAGTGTCATATTGAGTGACTCTTTAGATGCTGACTTGGGGTCTGGTTCAATGTCAATGTCTGTATTAGATGTAATAAGATTTGGCTCACTCCGAGTCCAAGGCCCTCTTGCCTGTTGAAGAGATCTACCAAGCGGTCTCTTATGGGACGGGGGTTTTGGTGGGACAGGGGGTCCAACTTTGGGCTTAACAGGAACAACTGGGTCATTATCAAGATCATTTTCAATATCAATAGGCATGATAGTGTCAGAAGAAGGGTTTAAATCTAGACTTGGTGTTTCTTTATCATTAGATGTTTCAGACACTGCCTTGAAGGATATGGGTTTTGGAGCAATTGGAGGCTTTATTACAGATTTACCAGGTACTGATTCATTTGTAGTAACTTCATTTTGATTATCATCTTCAATTGCTTGTGTAGCAACAATGACCTCTAACCTAGGATCATTTTTCTTTTCTTTTTGATCATCAACATCATTTCCCAAAGATAATACTGTTTCCTCATTTTGAGATACAATATCAGAGTTAGCAAATTTGCTGATACTATGTTCTTCAACAGTAATTTCTGGAATCTTTACTGATGGATACTCAGATTGAATTTCATCCAAAAGGTTATCAGCTTGGGCTTGTTCATCTAAATTGATTACATTTTCACTCCCTTGTGCTGAAACTGTTTCCATGTTAATGCTCTCTGAGCTGACTGTTGGAGAATCATCAACCTGAAGTTCTTCATCTAACACATCCTGTGATCTTGGAGGTACCTCATAGACAGGGACATTTGTATCGTCATCAGGTTTGGTTTCCAGTTCTTCGATGTTGATCTCTGATATTTCTGTTGAACCAGTAGTTTCTGTTGACATATTTCCAATAACCTCAACTTCACCACTTTCTTGAATAGTTTCTATTTCCTTTGAAATCATGGTTGTTATAACGGGATCATGTTCTTCTGAATTATTTTGCTGTTCACTTGTATCATTCTTTTCCTTTTCGGTAATTACAATTGCAGTTTCAATTTCTTTTGAATTGTTCAAATCAAGTGTCACGTTTTCCTGAGTGGTAACTTCTTCTGTCCGTTCAACTATGATTTCTTTGGTTTCAATTACTTCTTTTTCTATTGTGGTTGGATCTTGGACATCTTCAATACTATATGTCAATGTTTTGGAATGCTCTATTTGTTCAGGTTCTGCTACATTATTACCAGTCTCATCCAAGTGGACAGTAGGTATATGGGAGTCTATTGTTACATTATCATAGTTGTCTATAGCATGTTGATCTACAGCAGCTATAGGTGAAAAAGCATTTGAGTTGTCAAGTTCTTCTTTAGAATCAACGGTGTTGGAAGAAACCTCTTTATTTGCAGCAAGGGTTGACATCGCAGTATCATTATCCTTTTCAAAAACATCTTTTCCGGGTGCATTGTCATCTTCAAATACTTTCTCACCCCAATCCTGTTCCTCAAAGCTAGAAACCCTATGTTCATCCAGTGATTCCATATTTTCGGGATTTACTGGTACATCATCTTCTTCTGAAAGTTTTCTCTGGACATTTGAGTTGTCAAGTTCTTCTTTAGAATCAACAGTGTTTGAAGAAACCTCTTTATTTGCAGCAAGGGGTGACATCGCAGTATCATTATCTTTTTCAAAAACATCTTTTCCGGGTGCATTGTCATCTTCAAATACTTTCTCACCCTGATCCTGTTCCTCAAAGTTAGAAACCCTATGTTCATCCAGTGATTCCATATTTTCGGGATTTACTGGTATATCATCTTCTTCTGAAAGTTTTCTCTGGAAATTTGAGTTGTCAAGTTCTTCTTTAGAATCAACGGTGTTGGAAGAAACCTCTTTATTTGCAGCAAGGGTTGACATCGCAGTATCATTATCTTTTTCAAAAACATCTTTTCTGGGTGCATTGTCATCTTTAAATACTATATCGCCCTGATCCTGTTCCTCGAAGTTAGAAATCCTATGATCATCCGGTGATTCCATATTTTCGGGATTTACTGGTACATCATCTTCTTCTGAAAGTTTTCTTTGGACATTTTCAATCAGTTTCTTAGCAAACTCTTCAAGTGGTTCTGTTTGTTCCCCTTCAATTGCAACCATAACATCAACTTGTTCTGATTCTTCTTCAGGTATCACATATAAAATATGACAGTTTCTGACACAGGATTCATTATCTCCTAATTCATAATCCCCATAGACTACCATCTCATTATCCTCAAAATCTTCCCCATCTTCATCACTATCATCTCTCGGTGGAACATATATCTCAAAGTTCTCAAATGACTCAGTGTCATTAATTGAGGGACTAGGATTTTCATCTAACATGTCAAATGCTTCATCCAGTGCTTCATTGATCAGATCACTATCACATTCACTTTCTCCAGTTGAACTGACTACTGATTGTTGGGTTTCAATGTGTGTTCTACGATGAATTACATTATCATGTTGGACTGCCTCAGTATCATCAATAGTTTTTACTTCCCCATTCTCTTGATCATTATGAGGAGTGCTAACAGAGTTTGATTCATCTTGTCCAAACTCTAACTCTGACAAGTTGGAAAATGTAGAATATCTGGGATCATTGCCACATGGAACATTATCATACATTTCATCAGAGTAGTATCCGTCATAGTCACTGTTCTGTTCACTATAGCTGTTTGGTAAGCTCTCATCACCACTGTCTATTGAGGTAGTTCTTACTTGCATTACATCTTTAGATGTGGCTGATTTCACCGGGGTAGATGTACCTGCTATGAGTAATCCTGAGATACCATGATAGTCTTCAGTACGATCTTCTGAAATGAAGATTTCCTTTTCGATTTGGTCTGAAGATTGACTTGTAGCAATATCAATGTCTGTTTCATGAAATGCATTTGTACTCTCGACATTTTGGACTGTATTTGTCCTATTCTCAGCACCATCAACCTTATCTATCTGAGGCACTTGACTTGCTGATCCATTGTCTATAGTTTCTTTGGTTGATTCATCTTTTGGTATGTCTGGTAGAGGTAGTTCTTTAGTTTGATCTTCATTAAAGATTTTGCTTTCTTGGATATTATCAGAATCAAGATTACTCTCAGGCAATTTGTCTCGTAAAGTGTCTGTTCCTGCAGGTGCTTTATTTGAGTTTTCCAATTCAATAGATTCTTCAGTTTTTTCAACAGACTCTAGTTGAGTCAAACTAATGTCCTTATAAGGCATTCCAATGCTAATATTAAGGTCTTCTTCCGGTTCATCAAGTTCCTCGAGCGCATCTAGTGTGTTGTTATTCTGTTCAATATCAGACAGTGATAAATCACTACTGTCATCACTTGCTCCATAAGTATCATCCTGGTATTCAGGACCGAGTAGAATATCATCCAATGAGGTTTCAGAATTCTCCCTTTCATCTGAATTGCCTCTCTGAATGTCATTGTCTGATACAAGAGTTGCTCCATCAACATCTGGAGTTATAGCATGTGCATTCTTACCATTAGATTGCAACTCTTTATTACTCATATCGATAGCAATGTTTGATCCTATATCTGGTTGGCTTCCTGGTTGTATGCTTAGCACTGAGGCATCATTAGGTAGTAAACTGGGAATATCACTGGCACCACTTCTAGCAGGGGGATCGAAAGATGCCACTTTGGGTATATCCTTAAGGCCACTTGTTAAAGGGGAGCTGTTAGTATTATTTTCCGATTCTCTATGCTCAGATGTCTTCTGGAATACCACATTGTTATCAATTTCAGCATCAGATGCTACATTATCTGATTTTGCTCTACGCTTAGGTTTTTTGCGGCCCATGTTGCTCTGTCTATCAGATGCAATCAAGATCTCATCATTGTCATCATCTGTACTTGATATATCCTTTATTAATGGTCTACCTACTTCAATCAATCTTTCACTTGGTTTCACTTGTTCACTCCCACTGTCAATTCCAGCTATTAAGCTACAAGTGTCTTGTTCCCCACAGTTTAGCGTATTAGTAGAAGTGATATCTGGGCAAGGTCCATAGGCTGTTTGTATCTCTACTTGAATAGAATCACTCTTATCTGGATTACAATAAACTTTAGTGGCTATATCAGAATGTGATATATTCGAACATGTGATAGGTTGTGGTATGTTTAAGTCCTGATCTGTATGCGCCTGAATACCTAAGTACGACATATAATTACCATTTTCTATATTTGTCACTGTGTGTACATGTGTATCATTACCATGTTTTTCATACTGATCTTGTAAGTAACTTTGACCTCTACTGTTTTCACTGGATTCCAGATTTTTACTAATTGTATTTGTAGAGGTCACATTAGTGGCTTCCAATGTAATACTGTCACTGCTTAATTTAGATATTTCACTTGACCCCTTTTCACTTTTACTTTTTATCAATAGTCCTGTTTTTTCATGTTCAAGTTTATTTCCAGTTTTACACTGGCTACTGTGACTCTCCAACATACCAGTGGACCCTTGTTTAAACAATGATTTATCGGCTAAGCTACATTGAATATTTTCATTCTCTTTCAAATAGTTTGTTGAGTTTTTATATGGCATAGTTGAACTAATAAGTTTATGTTGTGTGCTGGTATTTGGACTGAGATTTGATTCATATGTCATTATCTGCTTACTTGCACTGTTCATCTCACATGGCCTCACATTGGAGCTATTTTTACCGCTGTCAAGTTGCGTTTGAACTGTCAAACTACTTTTGGCTGCTATTGTGTTATCTTTCCTACTTGCATTTTTCCTGTATACGGTGTACTTTGTATTTTTATTAGGGATGCCATCTATTGTTGTATTTACCTCTGAAGCTGTGTCAGATGATGAGGACACATTCACTTCATGAAACAATGTGCTGTCTGGCTGACTTCGTTTTACACAGCTGTCTATATCTGCATCATCTGATAAATATTCCCATGTTACATCCACATCTCTGATTATTTTGTCACTGTAACTGCTCGTTATTTGGTTAAATTCCTTATTGGGAACAACCCCTACTACTGAATCAACACCTACTTGGCATTCTGTGTTGAGTTGAGTTTCATTCGGTAAGCATTTATGTGGATAAATTCCAATTGTTTCATTTCCTGCTTTGAATGTATCGGTTTTAATTTCTAATATTTCATTGTGTTGAGTGGCAGCTTGACCTTGCAATACTGTGTTTATACATGAAGAGTTCACGCTGGCAGGTTCAATAGCACATGTTGTTTTACAAGCTGTTAAACTAGCATTAGATACACTCTTGCTTTCTATGTGATAATCACTATAATTAATATCACTATGGCTCATGTTCACTGGTGTAAGACCAGTTGTACCACTCACCAGTTCATTAGTTGAAGATGATCCATGGGGAAACATATCTTGCATATTTGTACCAGAAATAGAGGAAACTATATGAACTGTCTTATCAGGAATAAGAAATTCACCAGAACTGATACCTGTCTGGAATTTATTTATCTCTGTTCCATCATGGGAATTTGACTGATCAGTTATATCTAGATGTAACTCAGGATCGCCCAAGTCATCCATTGCCTGAATGAACCTGGCTGCAAGCCTATTTTGTGATGCATCTTCAAATCCAAATATAGAATCTAAATCGGGGTTCAAGGGGTCAGCTGATGTCTGAGGGACAGGTGACAAAAGACTTGTTTGGATTGCTTCAACTTGCCTAGAGGGACTACTCTTGGGAATGGTTGCTGCAGAAACTTCATTTTGATTACCCAAGAAAAGTTCAAGTATTGATGACTTAACCTGTTTAGACTTAGACACTGGCACCTCTGGCTGAGGCTCAACTGAACTTGGCACAGTTCTGTCAATATTTTCTGTATCAAATACAGAGGTTGAGACACTGGGTAGTGTCATATTCTGAATCCCTAATTTACTGTCTGTTAACTCTAATATTTGGTTATCATGACCTCTAGAATTTATAGCTATAGATTGATCTCTTGCCCTATCATGCTCAGTATCAGATTGACCTTTCACAGTAGATATATAAGTTTGTTTAGTAGATAATTCATTAATAGAAATCAGATTTGATGGAGCAGAAATTTCACCAGGTGCTTTCCAATCTTTGTTTATTGCTTGAGTGGGAGTCTGAACTTCTGGCCCAGCTATATCAGGATGTAATTTTTCATACCCTTTCAATATATCAATGAAAGATGATTTCATTGCTTCTTCTCTTGAATTCATGGAGCCTTTAAGTGGTACAGCATTTGTTGGCAACTCTTGATCTGTAACACCAGGCTCTGATGTCACAGCATTATGACCATGTTGACTAGAGTTAAGACTAAGGTTTCTTACCTTGTTTTCACCAAGGGTTTCGCTAGGGGCTGATTCTTGGGATGAGACCTGCTCATGAAAGGCACTTGTTACATTTACTTCTATAGTACTACAAGTTATCTGTGTCAAAACTGAAGTTGGACTATCACAGTCAAACTTATGGGTATTGCCGTTGCTTGTTATGAAACCATGAGAAAGCTCGACTTGTTTGATTGTAGGACTTGGGAGCTCATGATGGTTATTAGGCATATCAGGCATATTAACATCAGAGGGTGCTGACTCATTTTGGCAAACTGTCCACTGATGGGTATTGATCGTTCTTGAATCGAACAATTCTGATTCCAGCTCCTTTCCTTGACTTCCTTTTGCTTCTAAAGGCACGTCACTACTTCCATTAGAGTTATCATAGGTTTCTTTGGTATTTAATTGCACTTGGATGGATTCTTCAAGATTATTTCGTTGGCTCTCCTTGAAATCTTGAGGTATTTGATCATAATTATGACTGCGTTGACTGCTTTGATTGTCTGATATTTCTTGTGCCTGATTATAAACTTCATTAAAACTTAGAGATACCGTGTTGTCCTGAGGATATTTTTGGGTATCTTTAGGTATACTATCTCCAATGTCCTTTATTACAATGGTTGAATTGTTTTTACTGACAGTACCTTGATCACTTTGAATGTTTGTTGGTATACTTGACTCAGTATCAGAACAGCCTGACTGTGTCTGTACTGTGTGACCAACTGCATCTACAGTACAGGAAAATTCCTGAATGTCAGTACTATTAGGGTCGCTTTTAATACCTTGTTGTATTATGACACTACTACTGCATGAAGGCATTACTGCATTCTGTTCTATATTTTGAGCACTTGTTATGCTGGGAATGTCCTTGACTAGATTGTCTTTTGAATATTCATGACTGATATCCATTAAATGTGTAGCACCACTTGAGCTTTGCTGTTCTTGACCTGATTTCTCAGGCAAAATATTTATGTTAGATCTATCTGAATCTAAAATGACTTCTTGGACAATGTCATTTTTCTCATGAGAATCCAAAGAAACATTTTCTTCAATTTCATCTTCATCTGTCCCAGAATATTGCTCAAGAACATATAATGGGTCAACGTTGTTAGCATCTAACATATCCATACTACTTATACCAGAATCCAGTGACTTGAAATCCTCAGCAATATCTTGTTTTAACCCTGGTACACTTATCAATGCCTCCTCTGATTGTTCAGTTAGATTTATATCTAAGGCGAGTGAATTGTCCATTGAGGATTGATCATGAAGGTGTTCATATGTCACAAGACCATTTTCTATCACACAACTCTCAAATGCATTTAATTCAACCTCTACATTTGAATTTTGATCCTCTTCATCTTCAGAATCTGTGGATTCTTCAATAGTTGATAGAACCCTTGGTCTTACATCATCAATGCTGTCATAACTCAAGTCATTCATATCAGTAATGGATGGTTGAGTTCCATTGCTCTGATATTCACTTTCTCCATCAGTGATAGAACTCGCAGGTTGGATCCTCATTGATTCATTAACTAGCATTGTATTCTTACTTTCAACTCTCTGTTGTATTGAGCTGGAAGGAAGATGGACATTCAAGGCAAGTTCAAAGGGCCGTTCTTGAACATTGTGGGATCTTTGTTGGAATACATGAGGGGCTTCATGAATGGAATGGCAATGTATATCTTGTACAGTTTGGGATAACATGAGGGATTTGGGTTGAATCTCATTAGATTCTAAAGGGACTTCCTCTATGACTGGAAGATGAACAGTCTGCTGGACGTACCTGTCTTGAGATTTTCTTGGCTTTGGGGGTACAGGTGGTGGTTTGGGACGATTCTGCCTATTTAGTTTACTTAAGGGAACACGAAGGGATGCTTGGATAGGTTTACCCTCTTCATAATCAGCATAGTTCTTCAGAATGACACTAGAATTAATAGTATCAGCATCTAGGATTGTACTAAGGCCTACTCTCGGTGGGTCAACTTGTCGTTTAGGTCCTTCATCAGTTCCAAATGGAGCTAACATTTCTAGGTTTACATGATAACCGAACACTCGCACATAAACTTGTTCAATACACCAACGGGTAAACTCATATGTATAGACTTCTACATCGCCCATACTCTGCATTATCCTGTCTACGATTCCCAAAACAGTTCGGATATTAGGTGGCTTCTTAGCTGGCTCCTCCATGTTTAATCAATGTGTCCGTAATTCAATTATATCTCACAAATTCGAACAGTGTTCAGATTTTTCAGTCTCTATGTGACGTTATTCCCAGATATATGATTCCTTGCCTTAACATATGGATAAACTGTTTTCATAAATGAATTTCCATGTGACAGGTTCAATCCATCAGTGTAAGTCCTTTTACAAATAATGTCAGGTGTACTCAGTACTGGTCAATATTGCAGCCCTATGTATGTTCCAGACAGCACTTCATTAGGCAGATAACTTATTTAAGACAATTTATATTAATGTTACGTAACTGTAGCATAGTCATTCAGTACAAGAACATGCTGTTTTTCATGTTTCTCGCTGTTAAGTGATGAAATTGCAATAACACCTCCTACTGTGAGCCATTCATTACCTTGCTTGTTTAACAACTGTCTTTGACATTGTTAAATGTGTCTATAACATACTCTGTACTAATGTCTACAGCTATATATGTCCATTCATTCAGATTCAGAGATCTAAATGTCAGTAAATGTCACAGTGTTAAAGCCTCATTCAGATTTGACCAGTCACCTGTTCACATCAATCACAATAGATGTACATTTGTTCTCACAGTACTTGACCTCTAATACTCCAGATACTCCTCCAAGCTCATGTACACCACAAACTATTTCGCAATCTAACGATTGTCTCACATTTAAATTTATGATCCTCCTACTCTTCTATTGTTAATTACATCTGCTATCTGTCTACCATTATTACCTGTGCACATATGAATTGCAGTTCAATAAATTTTCAATCTACAAAGTTCATTGTGTCTATCAGGGATTAGTTCTTGGTGATTCTGGTATTTCATCAAATAATGTCCAAATTCCAACTGTATGTACATAAAGCTTGTCACTATTCAATCACAATAACCCCGATTACAAGTTAAATCAATCTTGCTCATTCATATTCAATGTTCCAATTTGTTGTTTAATGCCCACAATTAACTTATAATCAGGTAATTTATAGGCAGATCTTAAGGTATGTAGAGGTAAGTTAAATATATTAAGATCTGACCTTAGATGTTAACTAAAGTTGTTTAATTGATTAGGAGGCAAAGTTCAACACTCTGTAACATGAGCAGGTAGCTCAAATATTATCATTCAGCATAATTTATCGATAGGGTAAAATACCATCTGTTCCTATTGTTGAAAATCATTTTTTAGGGTTTTCTAATCTTACCCGATGAGGTTCGTTGGAACATCCTTATCACTATTTGCCTAATCCGACATAATCCTAATAGTCCCTTAATATCCAGAAGCAGATATCATAAAACTCTGTGACTCCTTCATATCATTACATCCCATTTTGTCCAAAATGTTTAGTTTGTCAGATAACCTTCTGTCAGAAACACTTTGTTGAATTGTCATTTCTTCATTTCTCTGTTCTGCGAAATCTAAGCTGGGACTCAAGTTTGTCAAAATGAAACTTAAATTTACTTCTTGTATATATCGTAGGCTATATCAAGTGTTCCACTATCAAAAGCTGATTTGATCAAATCATATCTTTGATGACCTTTGTTTTTATTTATTTAGAGATGAGTACATATTGCTCCAGATATGTAATAGTTTTGTATTAATGTCTCATTTTTCAAATTTGATTTGTTTTTTACTTGAAATTTCAGTTTGTTCATCACTCCTGATTGATCCAAAGTATTTAAATCACTGGTAAATGTATCAGTTAATAAATGCCTCAAAGCATATTGTACCGGCCATATATAATAAATCTATATTAAATTCTATTTTAGTATATTCTCATTACTGTTCAGGTGGTCACGTTTGTCACATAAGCAGATTTATACTAACTTGATAAAACTTTATTCCAACATCTTATCCCTTCTTCACTTTCAGGCAATAATAAAAACAAGAAACATTCATACATATAGGCAGTATATAAAAGGGACATCTCAAAAACTGATTCAGTTGTAGATAACATTTATACATTGTTGGTGACCATATTGCACACCTTACACCGATTTTTTTATGTATAAATTTAAGAAGAACATCTCAAAGTCCATTTAAGACATGAATTGATTGATACTGATCAACTACCTCCCACCCCCCTAAATAAAAACTATTTGAGATGCCCCCATTATAATGCTACAGGTATATGTTATCTTCATGAGTTACAGCATGTTATCTTTAGTGGTATACCTGGTATCCATGGTAACAATTAACATCACTTTGATCACACAACTTCTTTCCCATATGAACGAAATGTCAGATTCTCTTTGATTTCGCTAGACATATACATGGAATTGATATGTAATTAAGGATTGACTAAACACCCAATTTGTAAATTTCTCTCTCTTCCACTCTATTTTGAATTTTAAAGCATGACTCCCATGGTATCTTTTCCCAGATTTACATGTTAAGGTTACCTTAAGATTGCAACACTTCATGACTTTGAAATCACGTCTAGCATGAAATATCAACAACAACAGAAATCTTGGTGTTGAAAAATGAGAGTACTTACCTAGACCTTCGACATTGCTGACATTTTCTCAAATGTTGTGATGTTATTGCACCCCCCCCCCCACCCCCTCCCCGAGCCACATTCACCATATAATACATGGAAGAGTTTCCGTAAGCACAGAAGTTAGTTCTAAAGCAACCTCTGAATGGTAAAGACAATTTTACAGTCTATCACCCCTGCCCCAAATGCTGGTGATAAAACTAGCTTTAGGAAGCAAAATCAAACAAATGCGAAGAGTAGGCAATTAAAAAAAATTTCTGTTAAAAAAAGTATACCATCCAAATTAATGTTTAAATGTCTTAACATCATGATATATAACCCCCTCCTTTGAAGTAAGTATTTGGGGGAGAGGTAACAAGGGTTTGATATAAGACCGTATACATGTAGATAACAAATCTAAAAATTATCTTTAAAATTCAATTAGTCAAAAACATATATATACTGTTGCTTTCAAAATAAGGAAAAAAAGAGTTTCATATTTAATGAAATACTGCAACGACATAAACTTTGGACAGGGAAGTCTTCCTAAAAAGAGAACATACATCAAAATATATACAGCCAAAAACCATTAGCCTAACACTTGAGTTTAATAATATAACACAAGGCAAAGTCATGTTCTGAGGTCAAAATGTTATCATTGATCTACCAGTTAAAGATATTTTTGCATTTCTTATCATTAAACACCTTGTAAAAAAGTCAAATCTCAAGTATAGTTATCTAAAATAGTTACAAAATATGTATATAAAGATTCGACCGGCATTAAAAATTGCATGTACATGTACTTACATATGAATATATGTACTGTTCATGTAGTATGTTATATATATGGTTAAAAAGATGGCACTCATATTTCTGTGTAATAACTATGACTATTTACATATTATTTAGATATATTCAATACGGACCAGCGTTATGGTTTAACTTTAAAAAAAAACAGCAACTCCATGGAGTAGCAAATCCCACACAACAGAACAAAACATGTTATGATAAATAGCAGCCATCTTGAAAATTTCTTCTTGAAAAGAGCTCTTTTGTGCCTAGGTTTAAGCATATAAAATTTCAACCAAATCTGTCAATTGGTATTTCAGTCATCAAAGATTACATTCTTGAACAAAAAATGGCGACCATTATGAAATTCAGCTGGCCTCTTGAAAATTCCTTCTTTAGCAAAGCTCTTGTCTCCTGAGGTATCTTCTGGTATTTGAGTTATCAAAGATTACATTTTTTTACGAAAAAAGTGGTGGACCATTTTGAAATTTAGCACCCATCTTGAAAATCTCTAGAGCACAGCTTCTTTTTGTCCATAGGCATCAGCATATAAAAAATTTTGAACCAAATCTGTCAACTAGTATTTGATTTATCAAAGATTATTACGAAAAAGGGTGGCCATTTTGAATCAAGTAGCCATATTGAAAATTCCTTTTCAAGCACAAGTCCTACAACCATGAGGCATAAACCTATAAAATTTGTATCAAATCCGTCAACTGGTATTTGAGTTATTACCCAAACTCACGAACGAATGGACAGACAGCTTCTCTATATCCCCCTCGAACTTTGTTCAGTGGGATAATTAATACAGCTGTTTAAAGTATATATTGAATGTAAGCTCACCTATATTGTCTATGAATTTGCTTGCATCCCCGTTCATGGGGCCATTCATTTGTTCCGTCATTGTGGAGGCTGAGACGCCACCTCTAGTCTAATCTCACACCTGAAAATAGACGGCACTTATGTTTAATCTCAAAACAAAATGTTAATCTGGAAACAAAACATTATTCACAAACCTAAAGCTCTCTTATCTATCTCTCAGTACATGAAGACCTTTATGCAAAGAACTAAAACATATTCCTATCTTTTACATGTATGTTATGTTGACCTGGAAATGTTACGAATGAAAAATTTAAAACAAAATGCCTCAGGCAGTTAATAAAATATGATTTACTCAATAAATGCTCATGAATGAGAGTATTTTAAAAGTGACAGTTAAATGAATTTGCTGTACCTTCTCATACTCATGTAATACCTTGATGGATCAAGATGGTGCCTTCTGAGAATATTCATAAATTAGCCTTTCATAAACTTTGATTGATTCCATTTAATTAAAACCTGATGTGGAATGTCTGAGACAGAATCCCTGGAAAATAATCCAGATATCTAACCAACCACACCTCAAAATAAAGTAGAAATCACTTCCTCCTTTCAGTTCTAAACAAATACAGACTTTTCACTGAGGTATCCACAGCCTCTAAAACCTCTTGAAAATAGGAGTTGCTGGGCCTCTTGCAAGCATTTGATAAATAGGGGCTTTGATAAAGCAGATAGATATATGGACCTATCCAGTATATGATAAAAGTGGGCTCAGAACATTAATTGTCCAGTCAATTCTGTCAGATCCAAACCATAGAATTGAAAGTAGGACCAGATGCAATCACATTAGACCAGGTTTCCTATATCCATTAGGGATTATGGTGAATACTTAGAAGAATAGCAAATCAAGAAATTCAATATCACTCAAACTATAATATAACATCCTACATTATGCAAGCAGGTCCGTAGCCACAGGGGTTCAATGGGTTCCTCCCCCTGGCCAAAAATTCTTTCAAAACCATGCAGTTTTTCACCATGCTGACCACTTTTTAAGTGATTTTGGCCATTTTTGGACCAAAATTGTCAAAGTGAACCCCCTGGCAAATCCTGGCTACTGTCCTGAGCAAGTATTTTATTTATCTCACGTTTATTGTGTTATCTCATATATGGCTGATATCGTGATAAACAAATTTGAATTTTTTATTGTAATCATGGGATAAACGCAATATCAGATCGTTTCTCATGATATCATTTTATTACCTCACACATATCAAATATTAACACACATTTGCTTCACTCTACATGTCAATATTTTATACCATCTCTTCAATAAAAATGATATCACTCGAAATGATCTGATATTCTGTATTTATGTTCTTATTCTTTATTTTCACATCAGAAGTAAAAGAAATGATTAAAGAGTACTTCATTTTATGAAGTAGCACAATCAATAATCTGTCTACTGACATGTCTGTTAGGTAATCAAATGTGTAGTCATAGTTATCAATGTCTTTCCCTATGCTGCATTTAACCATGCTATTGGTCATGATGATATTTGTTATCTAATCAAGGTTTGTGAAGTCATCATACAGTACACATTCTATTCTGTTCCACCCTAAGAGATGTAGAATGTATGGGGTTCTCATACTCAAGTGTTACACATTCTATTTTCTTCCCTATACCACAGGAACAGGAAAATATGTTGCAACTGCAAGAGCTAAAAAGCATCTTTCAACAATAATAAGTAAATCTTGGACAAAAGTAAATGTAAAGATTATGAGCATCAAACACTATGCAAAAAGGTAACACAAGGCATTAACATGCAAAATGTCACCACCAACCATTTGTTACAGACACTGAATGTCAACCACCAGATACCATCACAAATAAAAAATAAAGTTAAGAGACCATAATAATTGTAGGGAGTAGCAATGACTGATAAGCGAGAATCATTCACAATATATTAATAATAAAATCTAATATTTCTCCAGACACTCTGGCATAGCATCAAGGTTCAAGTCACCAAGCAAGACTAAAGTACTTCCAAGAATATCAAATTGACTTGAGAAAATGTATGTGCTTTTCTCTCATAAAATGTCAATAAATGTAGCCAGATACCATATAAACATTAGCCATTAAACTGCTACAGAGCAATTCACTGTAAAACTAAAATCCTATCAAATGTTGCAATATGAAGCAATAAAAAATATAGTTCAAATCTCCCTACACTTCCAAAATTCTCTAAGATAGATGTTTAAAGGTTGGGATGTACCCTTTTCAATGGGATGGTTGAATTTTTTGCTTCTTTATAAAAGAGCTGCATTAAGCCTGAGATTCAAATGAATAGCAAATGATGTTCATATACTGAATTGATGACACCACCCTTCTGGTTAACTGAATCAAGTATTCTTCAAACAGAACAATTAAAGTTTTAATTAATGAGGGGAGGTTCACAGTCATTTATAGATGGACTTCTAACATCCTCATAAATAACCCTGAAATAGACACACTGTATGTTAATTAACATGGAGAATCTATTCATGTAAGCTTTATTGATGCCATTGTTTAATCATGAAGACATTTTTATTACTGTTGTTGAAGCCATCCAAAAATAATGAATAATCAAAACACGAATTCAATTCATGAAAATGTAGATGGGCAATGCATTTATATCATTTGAGTTGTTGGTTGCATATTACCCAGCATCTGTCTCTTGATGACCTATCTGTATTGGATCTACTGACCCCCTGAGTGATATCAATTAGTCCAGCTTCATGGTTGTGAATGTAAAAAATATTCCCTGTCTAAAACTCATAGAAGTTCCCAAATTTTACCACATGCAGTAATGTTTCACTAAAATTCCTGAATCAGAATCAGGGCTCTCACCAGGAAATATTTAGAGTGTGGGGCTATCATCTTCAGAATAACCGTTCAGTCGTGATAAATCATCATTTATGTTATGTTTTATCCTTTTCACATGCTATTATTGTATATTCAGTCAAGTTTAGACTGTGGAAACAGTTATGATTTGCCAATAGGGTTTGGAGGGAGCTAAATAGAGTGTGGTGCTGCGCCACAGTCTAAAAGCCTGGCGAGAGCCCTGAGAATATTCTGTTTTGAGTTACACCTATGCAAAGCCCACTAAATATAAATAAAGCGCATTTCTGGTCTATCTGTCAGGTACTGCCCATCCTTTAGACTCAGTAAGACAACTCCATTTGAGATTATGTCGCAGAATAAGCCTCTAATGTAAATCATTCTGAAAGAGACTTTGCTAGATTACTAATCTATATGAGGTATCTCTCTCCTTTCCTTTTAATTGGGAGTTTTGCATAAAGCCCCTTCCCATTTCCACTTTATCTGTGCCATGGTTTGAGAAATATGAATAAAGGCAGTATCATGCACTATTCCATGAACTGAAGCAATATACTTGACACTGCTTAGTTTAGCAGAGATATGATTTATGTACAGGAAACTCAGAGCATGATTCTCAAGGATACTATCACCTACATTGACCTGTTCTTGTAGACATGTTCTTGTAAACTACTCTTACTAGAAAAGTGCATCTTGCTAATTGCAAGAAATTCTTAAATCAAATATTCTTCAAGAATTTCAGGTATTCAATACTAATTAATCTATTCACCGTATCTATTCAAAACATTTTTCATCAAATTTTATTATTAACAGTTAACCACTATCATGTTATATGTAAGGGTAATGTATAAGAGTAGTTGTTTAGAAGCTGAGGCATCTTCAGGGCTGAAATAACTCATGGAAAAATTCCTGAAAGAGACCCCTTCTACACACTATCAGTATGATCACGATACTACCCCACCATGCTGTACTACCTTTATATCCGATCAAAGTACAATTCAAAATATAAATTCAACTGTAAACTGATATAATTGATTCCACAAATAAACACGTAGGTATGACTTATCTATGTTATGTGCATTAAAACCATAAAATGTACAAGGTACTGTAATAATACCAACTCGTCCTCACATGCCCCCAAAATTTGTAACTATTCATTAAGTATTTTCCAAGGGCCTTGCACCAAGAGCTCTTTCTTACTTACCATAATCCCTTGAGTCAAGCCATATTCAAATAAATCAAAATATTTGTGTTATGTTGAATTTGATACAATTTCATAACAATTGATTAAGGAGGTTTAACATTCATTGTTAACACCCTCTTTTCTGAAGTACTACAGGTATATTGATACTAATATCATACTTATTCCATGATTAGAGTACTATATATGACATGTTTAGCCTAAGAACGATGCCAGTCCACCACAATATTTCTGTACTTCATAAAAATTTCTGAATAATGTTTTTATTCTCATATTTGGGATATATGGTGTTTTGATCGGTAACTCCAGGCTCTATTTTGCAATTTCACAGTTCTTGAAAAAAATGTGTAAAAATAATCATACTGTCACAAATCATAATAAAAAAATGTACGACTTTTACATTTACAAAACACTAGCAGACGACAATATTATAGCATTTTTTCAATATGTGATAAAAATATAAAGAATCAATAAAACAAATACGACATGATGTTTACTGAAACACACACACCTAATTGTAGCTTTGCTTTCACTGTAAGTTACTGTATTGATTGGGTCACTTTTGACTGTAATCTCTGATTTACATTGCTGTATCAAATGTATTTGAATAAAGTCAGCATCACTAACTGATTTGTCAAACATTACAATAGCATCCATATTTTTTGTAATTTGGGTGCTCTGTATCAGAAAATGATGGTATCATCACAATAAACTAATGATAAGAAGGCCAACAGTCATATTATAGTAAGCACATTTTTGTGTCAGGACACAGGCCCATTGCCAGGGGGGGGGGGGTTCCCTAGCCAAAAATTCTATCAAAATCATGCAGCTTTTATTCTGAGCACTTTTCAGTGATTTGGGCCATTTTTGGACCAAAAAGGTGAATTCCCCTTGGCAAATCCTGGCTACGGGCCTGGTACATATATGTCTTTATATGCTAGGACATATGTCCTTATTAGCGAGTTCATCTGTTATACATGTACATATAGTAAAGTCACATCTGTCAGTCTGTACCACAATGATTGATATTCTTTAAATTGTCCTGAGGC